CTACCCAAAGTGCTAGCTATTTTATTTGTTAAGCTTAATAAATTATATACCACCCATTTTGTGGGGAACTTCTCATCAATTCGCTCTTCCATTTGTAGCATTTTTTTTTTTGTTACACCTATTTGTGCTTGCGATGGTGCGTTCGATGGCGTCCTCCTTGGTACTCGCATGGGTGTCCTCGTCTCATAGGATTACCCATAGGATGACCCATAGGATGACGCCTTAGAATATCCCATAGGTCAACCCGTTGGTACTCCCATAGATGAACCTCTTTGCGCTAGCATAGGTCAACCTACGTGTGCACTATAGAGGAATCCATTTGTGAACCCGTTCATGGAGCCATCCGTGGTTCCATTGGGGCGCCCATCGATGCAGCCATTTCTCACTACGATTTGTACGTTTTTATATTATTCCTCAAAGCCTTCTTCCACTTGTTCTTATTTACTGCTGTTAATTTTGAAAAGGACCATATAAGGCTTAAAATAAATATTCGAAAACTTAATTGTAACATTAATTTCTTTTTGGCCATGGAAAAGAAACGATTTTCATAGGATTCGTCCAGAGTATCTAAATCGCGTGTGAGAGCTGAATGACAATCCATTAAACATTTCAATCGTTGTTCATCAGGCATTCCACTCTTTGCTGCTAATTTAGTAAAAGCTAGCCATAGCTCATTTATCATCTTAAGATATTTCTCCTTATGGTAATCATTCAGGTAATAGAAAACAATATATGCCTTCTTTTTATCGGCAAAAAGAAAGCCTGTAGTATACGACAGTTTTTCTATATTCTTTCTTGATAGTTTTTTTGAAATATCCTTCTCTTCACATCCGAATGGCAGAACTTTGTTGCTTATATATGGCACTTTAAATTTATCATTTTTTCCTCTTCTAGATAAATCTGCATTGATGTAATGTGATAATTCGGCTAGTTTTCTTGAACAAGTTTGTAATTGTGACTCTGATTGTATGCTCAATTTGATGGAGCAAAAAACAGCGTCCTAAGAAGAAGTAATAAAAGTGGATCACGACATGGGACAGCATTGTACACATTATGTAATAAGCATTATTATATACGTAAGAGGTAGTAGAGGGGTATACACTTATTATACACTCCTGGCGCGTGTGGGTCTCACGTATGAGTGAGATCGTTATTATATTACGGAGGTATATTTTGTGTTTCTCAGAAGAAAACACTTATTATTCTTTTTTTTTATAATTTTTATCAATTCTTACTGAGAATACGAAGATTATTACGAAAATGAAGGACAGCAAGATGAGGTACATTACAGGAGTTCGGCTTTTCGAATCTGCATTTTTTCTCATTTTTCTTTTTTTTTAAGGCTCGAGGTGGTATCGTAAAATCTAAAAAATATATATGTTTTGTAAGTAGGGTGGATGAATTAAGATAACTGATCGTAAAATATAAGAAAATTCGTTAAATTAAAAAGTTATGTAATTTGGGTGTTATATATTTAGATGAAAAATACATACTTCGCCCTTTTCAATAAATAAAAAAAAAAAAAAATGTGCAAAAGAGCAACAGGAGGAGAGCAACCAGGAAGGGGAGGTATGATGACTGGCACTTTGCAACTTGCTAACAGGTTTGGTATTTGTTTGTTTTTTTCTATTTTCAGGGGTAGTTTTATCATGCCTTATGAAAGGGGCTAAGGAAAAATATCTTCGCACTGGCCATTTTTGTTGGTGTCATTATAGTGCATAAGCTTATTTTCTCGGGGAACAAAAAATATACAGATAGCTCAGAAAAAGTAGAATGATTAATGCTAATATATGTGCAAAAAGAAAGCATAAAATAGGCAGAACAAATAAGAAGAAATAGGCGAAAAAAAAAAATACGCACAACGGGGGATCGAAAAAGATCCCACAATGGGGAATAAAGAAAATACGCATAATAGGGGCAAAAAAAAATAGGTCAAATGGGGGGGAAGAAAATTATACATATATAAGGCGAAAAATTATTTAAAAATAAAGCCGAAGAAATGTAAAAAAATGAGCTGAAAAATTATTTACAAATAAGCCGAAAAATAGTTTACGACTAGGACAAAAAAAGGTACATATATAAAGGAGGCCACAAATGTAACCTAATTACGGCGATCAAAAATCGATAACATTATATACATTGGTTTAAAAGGGAAAAAATTGAAAAAGAAAAGGCGAAGATCGCATAGTTAGGAGCATTAGAAATAATAGGCCTCGGTCAAAGAATCTGTATGAAATTGCGGGAACGTTTGAAAACTCTTAATTATGAAATTGTATCTATGGATACATAGTTACTTCTGAGAATAAAATGCATAATAAGAAAATGTACCTTTAGGATTTCTCATAATTTTAATTTGTGAAAAACACACACTGTTTAAAGTTATCCGCAAATATTTAGGACATTAAAAAGGTGTATAATACAGAAAATAAAAAAAGTAAATGTATAAACATATCAGTAAAAAGTAATAAAAGAAGGTAATGCTTCTTTTTTTTTCTTTTCTTTTTTATTTTTTGTTCTGCAATTCAGTTTTAATTTCAGAAAGGTTGCATATGCCAATGAATGCACTATGTTCCCTTCGATAGTCTACTGTCTCATGTGAGGTCCCGCATATTAACATAGCCAAGTCTGCGCAATGTCGCATTTTCGTCTTTGCATTTTACGCAGAGTACTTCTTCTGCCATATGCCAAGTAATATGAGACGAAATTATTTCTATGGGAGGAAATTCTTTTTTCTCCATATTGCCTTCCGCATGAGGTAAAGAAAAAAGAAAAATTTTTCCTATTGGCTCTGACATCTTCTCTCCACCGCTGCCTGTGTAAACCCAGCATAAAATTAGCTACCATCAAAGTGTAGAGAGATAATTAGCGCTACCAGGGGGTATACGTACTAAGAGAGGGGAATCTTCCTAAATATATCTGCATTCATGTTTATATATACCTACATGCCCATATGTGTGCATAAACTGTGGTCCCAGTTCTCTGTCCTTCCACCGCATACAGGTGTTTCCTGCCCTGTGGCACATGGAACGCGATATTGCAGCCGTTTCGTGGGTATATGTAAAATTGAAGTAGAGAATTTTTCTGCATATCCCTCATGAACGTTTAATTATTCATACCTAATAGTGTTGTAAAAGCGAACACTTGTAAAGACAATACTTTAGAGGTCCCATTCATATTATATTAGCACACAACTACAACATTTCATCTGCAACAACTGTAGAGTAGGGACAAGTTTCGCATGTCCACGAGTATACACACATAGGTATTGATGCACACATTCGCCGCTTCTTTGTCAGCGTAAAAAACGTCAAATGAATATCATTCCCTCGGTTGAAGGGGTCGATTGCTATGAAATATTACGACTATGTCTTCATGGTGAAGAAAGAAATGTGGGAATAACTTGTACCGCAACTAAGGAGGATCTTTTTCGTTAGAAGTGGCGATTACATGAACTACTAAATTGCCCCGTTGTGCAGTGGCTTAATTAAGCATTTGAAGGAATGAATTGCGTTCACTACTCTATTTGACAGTTTTGCAAAAAGCTCTATCAGCTACCCATTGATCTCTCACACATGATGGTAAAATAACTTATCTGTTTCACTAAAAGGAGGGAGCGTGTTATGATAGAAAGATAAACCAAAATGTTGGAAAAGACAAAATATATAATGTACGCATATATGTGAGTGTATATATTGACATATATTTATACATGCTCCTTAAGTTACACCTGAACCTACTCACGCGCTTTTGTGTAGAAATATATTTCATTGATTCATAAGCGTCCACAAGGGTAACGAAGGACGTATCCAACTAGCACGTGTGCATTTTTTATATTTGTTCAGGAGAATCATCAAATAATTGCCATTTTTTCTGAGAAAAACTGAATCTCCTCTTTTTGCGTATATTATCATTATTTGTTTTCATTGCATTAACATGGCTAGCGAATTACACGCAACATTTTATCTTCGCATTTGCGTTAATTAGTTCTGTTTAATTCATTTGCTAGCCCTTTTCTCCATTTCACATTTTAGAAATTTTTCCAAATAGTATTTCTTCTAAGTTACAGAGTTGATAAACGGGTCGCATTGCATTGTGTTGAAATGAATCCAGTAGCGTAAAACTGCTGTTTTGTCGTGTTGTTTCATACATATAAGGATTGCTTGTATACTTAGTAGTCTATATAATTTCTTCCTTTTTTTTCTGTACCTTCGCTAATTGGAAATATTGCTCCGTATTTTAATAACTCATATGTATCTCGCGCGATAAGTTGTGCACTGTTTATTTTCCGTGTTGCAGGGTGCCTTTCTCACCATTTAGACTTCTTTGATGAATTTGTTTCTTTTTTTAGTTACCTGACAGGGTAAATTAAAATGAGAAACATGCTACTTGTCCCAAGCCGAGGGAGGGAACTGTCATTTGATGTCGTTCTGCTCATAAGTGCATGTGTACATAATACGTGACTACTCCTGTTCATACGTACATGCACACATTTGTATGTAGTAAACGTAGCCATGTTTCTTCCCCCCCTCAAGTGTAAGGAATAATTGTACGGCCATTTCGTGTGAAGATCAAATCTTTTCCATGTGGACAATTTTATTAATTAAAAATATGAAATTAAAGGCATATGCTATAAATGGCATAGCGTTCTTCCTCATTCACAATGTGATAAAAATGATTAAATTTAATCTGTTCAGATTGATAACTATCCTAATGTTGTCATTTCAGGTGAATGCTTGGATGTTCATAAGAAATTCACCCTTTTAAGGGAACGTGGTATTTTTTTTTTTTTTTTTTTTCTAAATTGGTTATGTTCCCCTGTCCTGATGCACTTAGCAATATGAGCACTTCTGTCTCGTTAAAATGGGTTCCATTTTGGAGAATTCCTTCTCCTATATTTTATCCAGAATGAACTACTTAACACAACTGCAGTTATGAGAAGCACTTTATTTTTATTGGAAGAATTCCTTGGTGTGATAGGTTCCCACAGCTTCATTGACAAATGTGCACCTCCTTTTGTGCCCCGTCACTGAGATGAACATACACATGTCCACACATATTTGTGTATACATATGCACAGGTTTACTTCGTGACATTCCTTTTAATTTTCCCAATGTGGCACCATAGAACAATGGTAAGGATTAATCTTAGAGAAGGTAACCTTTAAATTTGCGTTGCAACTACTCGGATGCACAGAATGGAACGGTTTATCACGCGCTGTATCTCAAATTTTAAATAATTACAGAAAAGTAATGATAAGGGGCATATACCATTGCATTAGCATATGTATTCTTGACCATCCTGCGAATTAAAACAGACCACGAGCAATGATTCGAGTCCGGTTTGAAATTCCATTTTTCACGTTGATATTATGAAATAGCTTATAAAGAAATGCTTAAATGAGGGTAGCAGTAGTTTATGCTTTTTCTTTTATCATGAAAATAATTACAGAAAAAAGAAAAAATAAAATAGTAGCAAACTAAAATGTAGCTCATAAACTAAACAAATGATAACATGCATGACGACACGGAATTTTTAATAAATAAAATAATTCCAGGGCCTACAAAAATGCAACGTTTACAATTTTGTAGCATGCGATAACGTGGTCTTCAAATAAGATATTGACACACACACAAAAAAAAGGAGAAAATAATGAAATGAAAAAAGAAATGACAAAAAACAAAATAAGTAGGGCATCCTTTGGGCACCCTCCTTAACATAATGGTTATTCACATTTTACAATATCCCTTTTCAGGTTTTTATTTTTCCTGTTCCTGAATAAAGTAACTATGCATTGTTTCCTCTTCATGTGGATAACGCTTTCATACAAACTGCTAAACAGAGTACTCCCCTAAGTACGTTTGCCGTGCCACTCTGCTTCTGTGTTACGGTCTTTCTGTGTCGCCCTGTTCCTGTGTGGGTTCAAGTAAAAGGCCAATAGAATTAGAAATCTTGAGGATTTTCTAACTTGTAATATAAAACCTTACGCCACCTTTTTGCATGATGCTTCATTATTGTGTTCCATATTTTGTCAGTCTGATTTATAAATGATTCATATTCTGAAAGCCATATTATTCTTTTTCTCATAAAAATAGAAAAACGTCTTTGGAAAAATTTGAGAGTTTGTTCTATTTCTTCTGCGGCCGCTTCATTATATTCCCTTAGGTACTTCAATAGATATTTGCGTCGCAGTTTTTTAGACTTTCCTAATAGCATGAAATCTATTCCGATTCTCTCGCACGTAAATTCAAATTTTTTTTTTAATTTTTCATTATAATTATTAAATGCAGTTATTGCTTTTTCTTTTTCTACTCCAAAATCTGAAGCGGTATTCTTCCTTCTTAGCATTTCTTCATTTGACAATTTACTGCTATCATCTTTATCTTCATCTTGATCTTCCTGGTTTCCCGTACACTCATATAAATTCCATTCTCCCTTCACTTTGCGTAACTTATATGATGGCTCAGCTAATTTTCTTGAACGGGTGTCGCTTGATTTCATTTTTGGTAATGTCATAATGCTTGATGTCTGAAGTGTAATCTATAAAAAAGGTAAAAAAAATTAACATACACACGCGCAAAAAAAAAGAAAAGAAAAATGACATGACATTATAAATACAATACAGTGAAAGAAGCAATATATATATTTATCCAAAGTGCAAACGCCTTTTTTTTTTTCTTAAAACATATGAATACCTTTTTTTCTAATAATACTACGCTTAACATAGCCGCCAAAAGAAAAAAAAAAACTCTGGACCTCCTAAAGTTCTGGAACCCCCTCATTCGTGACATTTTTTTCGGAGCGAAATATTTTTACGAATTCGTATTTATTAGCGAATCACTTCTTCGAGGAAGCATAAAGATTAAGTTTACAGTCCAGATTTATACAATTTCTTTGTCACAATATTTTTAATGAACAACTTATTTGTTACATTTTATCTTAAAAATGAAAAAAGAAAAAACTTAAAGACTACACCTAAATCTTAATTTCTGCAAAAAGAAAGAGGATTTTTTTTCCTTTTTTTTTTTTCTATGCCATTTTAACAGTGTTAAAAAGAAAAAGATAACAAAATCAAAAAGAAGTAAGAAAAAAACAAAAGTTTAAAAGGAGTAAAAAATTATAGGCACATATAGAAATAAAACAAAATGAATATAAATCTAGAAAAGAACAAATTAGAGAAAAAAGAAATGACAATGGTCAATCAATCCTACGTTAAGGGTCTACCCCAGTTGCGCAAAAAAAAAAAAAAAGAAAAAGAAAAAAAAAATGAACCCATCTAAACATTCATACAACTAAGATAAAATTATAACATTTAAAGGAATAAAATTAAAATATTTAACCCGATAAAACCAAAATTGGCACCTACAAAAAAAGCCTCATATAACGATTCAGCAAAAGTAGAGTATTACGTCTAATCGGTTATATATACAGCATGACCAAACGAAAAAAAAAATGAATAGTATCAAAAGAAACCAGAAAATTGTGCTATTTATAGTAAAAACATGAACTCAATTTTTTCTGATTACTTATTAGTAATTCCAAAACACAATGAATCATTCACTAGATAAACGACATAAATGCGTTAGCTCGTGCATCTTATCTTTATGCTTAACTTTTTCTTAAAAACAATTCCGAAATTGTTATGAGAAACTATTTTTTCCTCTTAGACACTCTTGAAGCGTGAGATGTATTTTGAAATAAAGTTACGCCCTTAGTAGAACTAAGCATTCCACGGAATAGTTGTTGCCTGGGCGGAGTCCATCATCAGCGTCACGTGATGTGATAATTCTCTACTTGATTATCAATGCTCGGTGTAAAACGTAGATTCAACGTGTCCGTGTATAAGTTCATACTCTGACGTGTCTATGTATGTCGGACGATTCTGCGAGTCAGTGCTCCTTGTTCATTGATTCGCGTGGAGAATGAAATTCCCAAAGGGGTTATAACAAGAAATATGTTAACATTGGGAAAGCGGCAGTTGACAGCTTCTCATTTAGCGTTTTACGAATCAGCAAAAAAATGGAACGGCAAATGATTAAAACAACAAAAGTACAAAGAATAAAATACCAAATATAAAGTACTAAAAATGATCATTTCTGGAACGTAGATAAACGAGTGTCAGAAAAGAATCATTAAAGAAATTAACAAAAGAAGATTATAAAGGGACATAAAAATTCAACATGTCCAATAGTGTAATGTGAAAATATCTCCTTTTTAAATTAACAGATCCTCACAGGAAGAAAATGAAAGAAAAAAAAAAAAAAACAGAAAAAAAATAGGGATCGGAGTTCACATCTACTAAAAATGAAAATAAAAAATATTGTTTTTCAACATATGTTAAGCCACCTGTTAGTAATCATGAGGAGGGATAAAAGGAATTTCCCGTCCTGGCATTATCACATTTATTTGCCTTTCGCCCCCCCCCCCGTACTAAATTCATGTACCGCGCTTCTTTAATAAATAGGGTATACACTATAAGTGCTATCCACTGAAGGATAGTTTTATTTTGTTCTGTTGTCTTCGGTTTGTTTCTCTTCTGATGTCGTCTGTTCTCTTCTCTTCTGTTTTGTTTCTTTTAATTTCCTTGCCTTAGAGGTTGTCAACCCGTTTTACCCACTCATTGATCCAACCCTTGGCGCGTAATTGTTCTGTCTGCCTAGGCTTTTCCACACAGCGCCCTCACTTACGACTTGCTTATTTTGCTTGTTAAAATTTCAGTCCACTTGAGCTCACACTTTTTCATCTTCTTCATCCACAATTTCTTGAAACGAGCAATGAATGATTTAAGTTCTGAACACCATATCTTTTTTTTTTTGCATAAGAGTGTAAAAATGGTGTTTAGAAATCAGTTCTATTACTTCCATGTCCCTTGTAAGTCCCGTATAGCATTCTATTAAATGTATCATTCGTTCTTCTTCTGACATTCCATTTTTTAATGCTTCCTCTGTAAAATTTCGAACTAGTTTGTTCATCATCAAATAGTATTTTTTTTAAATACTGATTAAAATAATAGTATATAATATATGCATTTTTCTTTTTTATCAAGATGAAACCACTAGAAAGAAGCAAATTTTCTAATTGCCACTTGTTCAATTTTTTCCTAAGGTCCCATCGTTTGCACCCAAATGGAAGTGCGCCACTTGTGCGGCCTTCATCTGTACTGTCACCCCTGTTATTCACCCTCTGATTTTGTTTCAATTGGATTTTTGCACTGGATTTATCTAGCAATCCACAATTTCCGATAAATTTCTTGCGCCTGTACCAAGTCCTACCAATTCCGATGAGGCAGACTCTTTAGACCAGCTACTAATTTTCTGTAAAAAAAAAAATCAAAAAGGCATTTGAAATGGAAGGGAAGAAGTATACTATTACATGCTTCCAGTATGCAATATTTTTATTCTTAATAGAGACCAAGAATAATTAGAAAAAAAGAAAAAATTTCTCATATGATATTTTTTCGGAAAGGAACATCTCCTTACAAGTAATACAACATTTAGTAGGAGCAGCAAGCACGTTAGGAAGAAACGTATGGTGGATACAGAAAACCCTTTTTTTAATTTAAAACGGTTTTCCATTATTCCCTTTTCTCTCTTATAATTGAGCTAAATGATTAATATAGAATCACTAAAATTTTTGATGTTTTTTAATACAGAAATTTTAGGAGGTGTAAATTGTGCATTATATATTCTCCTCAAGGATGATACAATAATTGTCATTTTACGATTTTTAAAAAGTAAGAAGTTATTCAAATTTTAAAAAGAGGATAATATCTATTTTAATAGAGGTGGTAAAAAATGTCACAAAAGAAGAATTAAATATTTTGTGGAACATAAAAGAAAAAGGGGAAATAAATATATGAGCAAATAAAAGATATCAAGCAGATGAATGTTAAACGATAAAATGAGTTGCGAACAAATGAATACATTATCTGATAACTTCCGCCTGAACACATAAAATACTGACGAAGATATAACCCATTTAAAAAAATATATTATTTAACAGTGGAATGATTCAGTCGAGGGATATTCGTCTGGGTCGCAAAAAAAAAAAAGAGTACACATAATATATATATGTATTATATATCTATGTACATAGCAGAACAGGCAATTATGAAACCTCTTAAGGTACATAGAAATAAGAGTGCAGTTTGGATTCACACTCATTAGTAAAACTCTTGAAGAAAACTAAAATGAATCTTTGGAAAAAAAAGAAACAGAAAAAGAACGTTTTTTTTTTTTCTTTCCTGTAATTTCATTTTAGAGTTTCTATAATATACAATGTCCCTTTCGGATTTATATAGTAACCATTTTAGAACTACCACGTTTCTTTCATATATATCATGTAGGTTAACAGTATTAAAAAATTGTCAAGTATTAATTAAGAATTTGGAAATGTAGATTCTTTTTTTTTCAACTCTTCCCCTTTAATGAATAGAAATATTATCCACTTAAAATTTTCTATGCCTTAAAGGTCTCTTCCTTTTTCTCCTCAATTTAACTCCTTTCATTTTGTTTTATTTTATAAATTCATAAATTTTTAATTTTTTCGCACAGTGTTGCATTGAAAAGGATTTATTCGGAAGGATGATATTTATTTCTTTTTTCTGTATCTCTGGGAAAACATCATAAACTGAGGTATTCTCATATGGGCCAGTTTAACTTTTTTTCACGAATAGAATTAATTTTTAATATATTTGGATTTTTTTTTTTTTTCAACATATATTCCCCATTAGATAACTATTTTCCACAGGTGACTGCATGATTCCGAGCTAAACATTCTATTTATATTGGTACGAATGGTAAGGCGTGGATTATTCTAAGGGGCTATATTTATCCTTACATGCATAATGATAAATTAGCAGTTTCTTTAGAAGTGTGTAGATATAATTCTTCACCCCTATATTTTAAATCCACGATTCGTATGCAGAATATAGATGCGTTTCCCAATTTAGAATCATTCATATTTTCTGCAGTGGGGAATACAGCTTTCATTTGTATCATATTTTGGAATTCCCTTCACCGCGCATTTCTCGCGTCCTCTCTACGAAGTCATTAAGGAAAAATCGAAATAGTGTTTTATGCAATCACGCATCAGTACACCCTTGAGTGTACCCTACGTAGGTACGCCTTTATGTTTCTACCTGATTTTTACACCACATATAAGAAGGGGCCTACTTGGAAAATATTTACGAAAGGGTACAAGTGCGGAGCTAAAAATATACCTCCATTCATGCAGCCATCAAAATGTATAAGCCCTGCCCGTTCTCGTCATTCGAAGGATAGACACATGTAGATATATGCATCTTAAGTATTAATTGTGATGGTTGGTGTTTTAAGTTTACGGCACCCCTTTGAGAATTTTTTTCACAGTGCCCATTACTTACTAGCAATAGTGTGAAGAAGTAAAATGTGGGGGCTACTCCTTTTCGCGATCGATTCGGCAGATTTACTGAAGATGTGGACATTAAATAGGTGATATTTTTTTTTTTAACTTCGAATATGTCTCTTCCATGTCGGCATATTTTATACGAAAGAGTGTTATTTGGGGTTATTGCAAAAGATGGTTTTCTTTTTTCGTTTTTTTTTTTTTCTCCTTCCATAAATACAGCAATATCAAGAGAAAAAAAAACACATATGTTCCTTTTTATGAAAATAGCTAAAAGTTTATTATTTTCGGGAGAGGGTTCCAAATTTTTAACTTATTAGACACATCTGCTGGTTTTCCCTCAAATTGTATTGGCTACTTCCTAAATAAATTTCAGTGGACACACAGTTTAGCTTCCCCTATAAATAGGCATCTTTGAATATGCATGAACAAAACCTATGTGCTTACTTCTCCATGCATGGTTGTTTGGTTCATACAAGGAGGACTATAATTTTTCTTTTCTTCCTTTCATTTTTTAATATGAATGATATGATAATTCTTAATTTACATCGTTATTTCATTTTATTTGCTTAAGACTTCATTTAACCTTATTAAAATGTGTTTAATTTAATTCCTTTTTTTGAACTCTTATATCATATTTCCCACAACAGGAGCTTTTCACCTGTGGCATTGTGTTGCCCACACTAACGGGGTGTATTCACTTTAATAAAAACAGTGCAATAAATTTCACAAAATTAAGAAATTATCTAACTTCAACATACAAGCCTAGAATTCATGATTACTGTTTAATGATTAAGAATTATTAAATGTTAAACGTTAAATGATAGATGTTAAGTGTCAAAAATGTTAAATGTTAAATGTTAAACGTTAAATGCTAGATGTTAAGTGTCAAAAATGTTAAATGCTAAACGTCAAATGCAAAATATTCATCTAATTTTCCAGAAATGATGACAATAACGTATCATCTACAGGTATTCAATAGGGAAAAATTATCCACATTATTTTTTCCCCCCATTTAGCCCTCTTTTTTTAGTGGGAAATGCTTTTAGTAGGTACACACCAGCCCATGTTTTGTATATAATAGGTTAAAAATTCTTTAAAACCTATACTTAGACATTTTTTTAGGAAAATCCATTACCGAACAGATGTATAGAACATTACTATACCATGTGAAATGAGAATCCGGTGACAACATCAAACGTGTTTATCCATGCAAGGCAAATAAATGAAGCGTCATCAGTATTGGACATCTACGCCTCAGGAATGAAATTAAAACAAAAGCATAAAATGAAAAAGACGAATAGTAAATTCCCATATGTCTGGCAAGAAAAGGACATTTCTGAATTTTCAAAATTGCCAAAGTTAGATTTAGTAACCTCAACATATCTTGCATACTCAGCTGATCATTTCTGAAATAGCTGTCTTACTTGACGATTATATCAAGTGGATAACCAAAGGATAGTGCAAAATGTTGGAGATATTACGATTATCAAAAATCTTGATGACTTATCGACAGAAGATGGAATGCCAGACAGTGTGCAAAAAGGAAAATGTGGAATCATACTTTTGCTAAGAGTGAAGAGGCCTATAAAAAGAAAGCTGCGCAAATGAGGACAAATCGGATACATAAGAGCAGCAAGATGGCGAAATAAAGGATATGAAGAAAAACCTTGTGATGAAAAATAACTAAAAGGAATTTCATTAATGCTAAATATATAAGCTTTCCCTAGTGACGAATAAAAGGAGGGAACAACCAGTTTCTTAATCTATACTAATGAACATTCTTTCAAAGGAATAAAAAAAAAAAAAGAAAAAAAAAACTCACCTTCCTATGTGCAGAGATGGCAATGTGACAGACACCCTACAATAAAATTCGCCCTACGTTAACCATGTCATAAGAATCGTTTTCCAAACATTACAGCTTCGCGAAAAATCTCTACATTTGGTACATGTGAAAATTTATTTTTTGTCTTTTTCATCTATTTCGTTTAAATCACCTTTTAAATATCCCCTACATTAGAAGTGCTTATTTTGGGGCAATATGTTTCTGATTGTTATGTATTTGTATTTGTCCTTTTTTTTTCTGTCTCTTTTTTGTAATCCGTTAGGTTTGTAATAAATCCAATGCGTACGATTTATGCGGTTCATTAAAGATACCACTATGTGGTTTCTCATAAATACAATATGGAGCTATTTATTACCATTTCTTTCACAGAATAAAAAAATTATGTCTCAATTTTGAATAAAAAAAAAGAAGTCACCCAAATGTACGTGCATTATATATATACACATTAGTCACATTTTTGAGTAGAATCCTTTTAAAATTTGAAACTTATAACTTTTCTTTTTTTTTTCTTTTTTGTAAGCATCCGTGTCAGTTAATTATATTCAATAAAGATAGAATAAAGTACCTCCCTTTGCGCGTGGCAATAACTTCCCCTCACTATGCAAATCAATTTACGAAGGACACATTCTCGTGTTGTAAGGAGATTGTTATCCATTTGGGAAAATATAAGCATGGGCAGATGGACAATTCCTATGTCGAATTATTATCTCCTTGTACTTTGCAATTATGGAGACGAGTTATGTGAAGCGGGGAGTTCATATCTTTGCATGTAGGGAAACAATATTTATTCAATCGCATCACCTCTATTCCTTCAAGATAAAAATGTATGAGACTTATGTGGAACTGTCTTTTATAAAGAAAAATACGAATTTTAACAGTTCCAAGGTGAGAAAAAATTAGAATATAAGAAAGCATAAATAACAGTGTAAAATAAGTTGTTCGTCCAGTGTACCTAGTGAGGCTAAGCTATTTGTCTCTTATGTTGAGACTAAATTGAGAATCACAATATTACAATAGTGGAAATGTATTTTTGCATTGAGACTTATTCAGAAGTAGGGTTCAGTCGCATTGGTGCTGCACCAGTCTTTTTTTCGTTTTTAAATCACTTTTTTCGCTTATGTTTAAATCCTCCAAATGGTGCTTTTTTCTTTTTTTTAATTTTCATGTTCTCAAAGTTAGCAAATTTATCGTTATTGCACGCTACAATGACCGCATTCACATGTTTATGCTATGTGGTTAATCTTACAACGGAGGGCGCTACATCGATTTCTTTTCATGAAAATTAAAATATATATTTTTTTTTCTAAAATGTAACTATAAAGAAAAAAAAAAAAAATGATTTCTACGTTTGTTCATGACTCCTCCTGATATTGTCAGTTTTATTTTATTCTTACCATTACAACGTACTAATTTCTTTTTTTTTTTTTTTTCTCATTTAATAATTTTATTCTGTGCAGAAATATAAGCATATGTGAAGTTTATGCAAAAGTTACTTTTTTTACCAACTGGTGTGATGATACTTATATTAACATGCCTATTAAAATATGAACAACTAATGGAGGCTACATTTTTCATTAAAATGAATGAACATACAAACACCATAACATAAATTAATCTGGTAGTATATATTCACCTCTTCTGCAAGATTAACAGCATTATGAAAGATTTTTTTTTATCGCGAAAAATAATTAAATTGAATAATCCGTTTTAGCTTCTTTGCGAACATACAACCCATTGCTTAAGTACAATAAAAAAATAAAATAGAATAAAAAAAATAAAAGCCAAACTTTATTCTTACATGAATAATTTATTAATAATATCAATCTTTTTGCTAAATAAGAAAATAAATATGAAAAATACAAAATAACACCGTCCCCCCTTAAATAATGCTGCCAAAGAAGGCTTAAAAAAAATGTATCCTTTATTTTTATGCACTCATGTCGTGCAGTTCTAAGGCAACATGCCCCTTACCGGTATATATAGCTAGAATAATCAATTTAGTGAAGCACTAGAAAAGAAAAAATTCCATTTGCATTTTTTATTCGGCTTCGTTCTCTGTTCTTTTATTAATAAAGTTTTCTTTTTTTTTTTTTTTGTAAATTTAAAACTGCCAATTATCGCTTTAACTTCCATTAGTACATCGTTTTGACTGTTTGCATTAGTAATTTTTATGAGTGTATGACTGACATGGTTGCGTTTTGTGCGATTTCTTGTTACTGTCTTATATAGATACAAAACGCAGCTGTAATGATTCAATGTTGGCGAATTTGTTTTTTCCTTTTAGCGGCTTTCTTATTCAATCATTTTATCCATAAAATACTGGATTTTTTGCTTTTATTTATTTATTTAATTATTTACTGATTTATCTATTTCTTTTTTTATAATTGTTTTAATATATTTTATTTTACTTCATTTTATTTTCTCTACAATATAAAACAAGCCATTCCTTTTTATACGCAGCGTAAAAATAAATTTCCTTCGTTTCTTAAACATACTCCCAATTTAGAAACTTTTCCCTTTAAATATAAGAGGGTTGTAAATTAAAAAAAAATGAATCGAATTTCTTATCTTCATCAGATCTGTTGTGAATACCAAAAATAAGAAAGCTGAAAATGTTGAGCGCTCCCAAAGCTCTCTTTTGTTCATTTGCCCTCTTGAACCTTCTGGTGTCGGTAAGAAGAAAGGCTCTCAACAGATCAGAAAAGAACAGAACCCTTGTTCGTTTCAAACAATAAAAACTTATTAAAATTGCTCATTTTTTTTTTTCGCTTTGGTTACCCCTTTTTGCAGAATAATGTCACCCTTTCGAATGACCTAACCCCTTCATCACGAGATGTAAGCGTCTTCCCAAGACATCTATCTGAACTGAAACCTAATTCCTCTACCATGCATTCATCGAAGAAAGGAGAAACTCAATACCCTGATAGGAGTATTTTCTCAGTTTCTCTTTTCACAGAACATTCAGATAATGCCGCGTTATTATCAGAATTAAAAAGAAAAGAGCACTCATTTCATGAATGTAGTTATTCCGACCGTTATGTGTCAAAAGAAGATATGGCTGCTTTGCTTGATGGATTTGAGAAATTATATCTCATCGAGCACGCAAGAACGTTGGATCGATTATCAAAAGCACTTTGTGATTTAGCAGAAAAATATGGAATGTCAGACAGATACAAAAGACAGTTGTGGAAGGAATGTAAGCAAAACATTGAATCTGAACTTAGAATAAAAAAGGATTCTTATAAAACACAGTATAATTCATTTGTAATGTCGCATAGTAAAAGATCCTGTGCTTTCATTAGATTTTATAAAAAATACGTTAAAGCATGGCATAATGCCTTAATCGAGATGGAAAGGAAATGGAATAGAAATTTTACGGAGGGAACGCGAAAATATACAACGCCCCTTCCAAAACCAAGAACAGCATGAAGAAAAGTATAGACGCCAGAAACAACACCGAAAAAGGAAAAAATGTAACGAATGAGCAATTACATACAGAACTCTTCATTGCAGAGTTGCAATCCCACGTTGAAGGTTACCTACGTTAGGTTATGTATAAGGGATGAAGGAATGTATCTACGTATGTGAAAAATATGCTCATTTAATTAAATAAGGACAGTGCCCAAAAAAATGAAATAAAAAACAAAGTAAAATAAAAAACACATTTTCCAAATATTAACAGGACAAAAGGGATACACATATGATAATACCTTTATAATTTTATTAAAAGTGTAGTGTTAATCTTTTTTGTGGAAAAATTATGGCGTAAAAGGATGCCTTCCTTTAATATTAGTATATTAAGATTCTTTAATAATTATGTCCATTTAATTTGTTCCCTTAAAGTTTTTGCTAATTCCTATGTCATTTGAAATGTTTCTTTTTTTTAATTTTTTTCCGTACCTTATTTGTTTTGTCCATTTTTTTTGTCATTCTTATTGTCGCATATTTAAAGAATAACTCGATACGACCTTCTCGAATACTTTTCATGTACCACATTGTTTGCCTTTCGAAAAATAAATGATTTATTGGAAGTTTCGGGGCAAGAAAGAGTTCTCCTATATTTTCCGTCCTTGACATATATGCATAAACATAGTTATATATACGGAGGAAGAATACATATTTATGTATTTCCTCATGAGTCATATGGCATAGTAACACATTGAGAATAGCACTTCTAGCTACCTCTTAAAAAAAGAGACTTCGATGCTTTCACTTGAGGAAAATATGACACAAATCTCCCTTCCATTGATAACAGATGAAATGTCGAAATTTTCCCGCTTTAGGAATTTCATTTCATTGCAATGTGTGCATACGAATATAGACGTCTCTAAGGAGAGGGAGGGATAACGCCGCAATCATACAGACGCCGTCAGGTATTAGCCCTATGCTGAATGAACTACTTATGCAAAATTAGGAAGCGTAGCTGAATGTATCGAATGACTAAATCGCTGCTTACCGATGAAGCATAAACCAATTCATACTGCCTGACATGTTCCTAAATATACGACACATTCCCCTCCGGGTGCTTACCAAAATGAGTGAAAACAATGAAACTAGAGCGCAATGGAAATCTTATCAAAACACATTCCAGGGAAAAGACGCACAATAAACAAAACTATTTCTAGGTAGTAAGTAAAATATTACTAATGGTACTATTCTGTTCTCGATTATGTTTACATCCTTTACCGTTTTTCCAGATTTATAATACACCTGCCAAGGATTATATCACATTCTACATTGAATGGTAAAAATAATAATAGGAAGAAGACGCTCGCATTGGGGACATGATAAAGCGTTATGGAGGGTAAATTTTTTCTATGTTTCTCCATGTTCATGGAGTTCCACCCTCACATCATTACCTATATCTATATTTTCAGAAAAAAGTGAAATGCAGTAAATTATACTCTAAGGAGTGGCATTTGTAGCATCAATGCTTAAGTGCTCCATACACTTGGTCAATGCTGACTACTTTAACATGTCCGCATTTAGCATTGTTGGAATTTTTCCATTTATAATTTATCCCATTTGTTCTATTCCTTCTTTTAATAAATAGAATCTGAAATCCATGGGAAGATAAATTGCTTTTTGGCGTTTTATCCGTTTTCACGGAAATGTATCCATTTGAAAAAGTAGAATAAAAATAGAATAAAATAAAATAAAAGCCAAACTTTATTGTTACATGAACAGATTATTAATATCATATATCTTTGATGAATAAAGAAATAAATACAAAAGATACAGAATAACCACGTCCCCGTGAATAATACAGCCACAGGAACGCTCAAAGGAATGTATGCTTCATTTTGATGTACTGATCTCGTGTGGTTATATGACAAGAGGCTGCTTCGCAGTGCGAAGCTACAATAAATCAATTTAATGAAGCATTAGAAAAAAAAAAAAAAAATCACCCGTAGGGATAAATGAGGTATGGCGTGACATTTTACTTTGCACAAACTTTCCACGTGCATATTCCTACGTAGACACTGGTGTAGTCTAAGGCACACAACGGATTAGCTTCCCCTGACAGGGAAAAATATATGTATATGTGCACCCCACTCCTTCTCTAGCGTGCATCTCACAGACAACATGCAAAGCAGCAGGATAAGTAGGCAGCGGCGAAGCCTCGAAAAATCACCGCAACCCTTGAAATTTCCCTTTATGGACATTTCTTCAGAGGAATAGAAACTGAACCCAGCCTTTATGTCAAAGACGGTTCGTAACTTCCTATTTGAATTTCCTTAATTGGCCTAAATCTTCGTTACTCAGGTAGGGGTGTTCCTTGGCGGCGCGTCAGTGTGGGAAAGGTGTTGCTCTTCTCTGCATAACACCTTTTTATAGAACGCGCGATTGGTTACTTTGGTGCACCAAGAGGGCGGGAGTGAAAACCATGCGAAAACAAACAGGTCCGCATAATAACGTATGTCTACAAATACACATAAGACGAAATATGCGCCCGTACTCAGGTAGCTTAACACTTTTGTCACCCCTCCTACGGTGGGCCTTTGCAGGGCTGTGGAACAAGGCCAAGACGGATGTTCCCAGAAGGATGTTCCCAGATGCATAGGCTCACACGAACCTACCACATAACGAGACCACGGGTCGGCTACTTAAAAGGAACGACAGGGCATCTGCCTTTTCGTGACAGGGAAAATGTGCGCACCGCTGAAAAGAATAATATGAAAAATATACGAAACAAAAAATGAGGCCAAAAAAAATGAAGGCAAAAAAAATGAAGGCAAAAAAATAAAGAATAAAAAATAAACGAATCGGCCTCTAAACAAGTAATGAATTATTATTACGCCTGAAAAAACAACCGAATTTCTTCTGACCTTTCCCTCGGGGTGGTCGTATGAGGAACAATGAACAATTAAATAGCAAAGATATAACAAAGGTAGCAAAGGTAGTAAAGGCAACGAAGGTAGTAGAGGCAGCGAAGGTTCCAAAGACAGCGAAGGTTCCAAAGACAGCAAAGGTTCCAAAGACAGCAGAGGTTCCAAAGATTAGCAGAGGTTCCAAAGATTAGCAGAGGTTCCAAAGATTAGCAGAGGTTCCAAAGATTAGCAGAGGTTCCAAAGATTAGCAGAGGTTCCAAAGATAGAAACGGTAGCAGCTGTTGCAAAGGTAGGACAGGCCAGGGAAAGCGGAGCGATTGCAGAAACCCTTCGCGACATATAAATATGTACATACAATGTATAAAGTAAATATATGGGCATATATATCTTTCTTGTTTGTCCCTGCACGAGTGTTCTGGCCGTAGAGCGCAACCACTGCTGTATGAATCAAAAACATGCTGTATGCAGCCGAAAAGCGGCGTTACCGCATAACCCTATAACAAATTTTGGAAATATTTTCTGCGCATAGCTTTTTGGCGCCTTAGAAAATTCACCGTGGTAGGGGGAGAGTATGCCGACGCCACTTTGTCCTTCCTGTGCTTTTGCGCTCTACATTTTCTTTTTTTTTTTCTTATTCTCGCAGCGAGCTTGTGAATGTTTCCCCTATTTTTCACAATTACTGTTTTTCTTCTTTTTCTTCTTTTATTCTGCAGTTTTCTTTTTCTGTCTCTTTTTTCTCTGCAAAAGATCGTGATGCATGTCCCGACTCGACGCGGCGTTCTGTGCCACATGCGCGAAGAGTGCTCTGCGTAAAATACAAAATGGTAAGATGAGAAGTCGGACAATTTTCCGAACGCAGATTATTTCGTTAGTCGGTCTGTTACCCACGTTTTCGCAATTTGGCATGCAGAATTTTTTTCTGTTCCATCCAATTTTGAGCTGAGATGCGACATTAACACAGAATGAATGAAATTGAAATGTTGTCCCCCGGGGAATGCTTAAAGATTCTTTATTTGTCAACACTTTCATATTTTCTAAGAACAAAGAGGGGAAAAAAAAACAAAAAAAAACAAACGAACAAACAGAAGAGCACTAAAAGATGCATAAATAGTACACCTATGTATGGATTGTATATTCAATTTGTAGCACCGAAGGACGCAGAGCCCCCGCAAGATTCTCCTCTGTATTTTCTGCTTCTGCGTAATAAAAATAACGGGGTGAACTAGAAAAAAACATGTTTGTGCTGTTCTGTCATAATGAGGCATAAGCACATGCCTCTCTACCCTTTCAAATGATTGGGGGCTAAATTCGAAGTTCCATTTTATGACCCCAAAAGGAATATGCACAATGGGATAGCTACCCCCTTTTTTCTCTTTTTGCATATTTTCAGACAGTCTTCTTGACGTCATGCTGCTCATCTTCAGATGATAGGTGCTAGAAAGAGTTTACTATATAATCAACTTTTTAATGTACACAGTTCGGGTACCTGCTCATTGCGCTCTCGTCCGGCATGCGCCTTGGGGAGGCTATTAAATGGTCCATCGCTTGGCCGCACACATTCCGCACATGACTGATCTCTGTTGCTTAGGAGAGTCAAACATTCAATAGCGTCATCGCTAACCTATTCGCGCTTTCTTTTTAACCCACTACGTGCACGCAAGGTCATAAACCGAACTTCACCATGCAAGGGAGAGATGCCACCCCGCATGTTTAAGACAAATAACCTTTATCGATGTGAATGCCAAGCGTTTAGGAAAACGCACAAATTTAATTTATGCCCGTTATCCAACTGGAACCAACGTAAGTGCACCTCACCATAAGGTCCTGCATCACCCAATGGGGAGAGCAAATACGAATGAGACAGATTTGTCAATTTAGCTTACCAAAAGGGAATAAAGAAAAAGTAGAAAAAAATGACCATCAGGGGGTACGAAAATGTAAGCGCTCCTTCTATTTTAAACGAGTCACCAATTTTATGTTGCATTTTTATTTTAATAGTTTGTGCTATGCATTAGGGGGGGGGAACGGGGCGATTTTGTTCTTTTTCACCATGCAGGGGGGAACACGGTGGAAACGCCACCCCTTTGGGACTTTACTCCACCTGTGTGTAGCTTTTATTTTTTGTTTTCTTTTTTCGTCGCCCCTTCTGTTATATTTTTTGGCATAATTGTCGCGCTAACTGCCGGGCTAACTGTTCGCTTAAGTGTTGATTTAAGTGTTGGGTTACCCGCTTGGAAGACGGCGCTATCGTGCTTCACCCAGACCGGCTCACAATCCTTCTCCGCTTGCGTCAATAGATGCAGGCACCTTTCTCGAGTTTTGTGTATAGTGGCATGCCAAAAATCCTTGCAGCGTATGAGGAACTCCCTCAGGTCTAAGTAGAATACTCTCTTCTTCACAAAAAAGTAGAACCCATTGGTACAGGTATAATCAACATGTGTTAGTTCGTGTGTAATTGACTGTTCACATAAGGCCCAATACTTCTTCCAGTCCCGCTCCGATATCCCATGCTTCGAAGACAGATCTTCAAACCGGTGGGATAATTCACTAACCATGTCGTGAAACGTCCTCTTTAGATAATTATTATAATGGTAAAATATTATGTACGCTTTTTTTCTACTTACAAAAAAACTGCACGAGTCGATTAGTCTATTTATTTCATACATGTTGAGTTCTTCGGAAAGGTCTTCTTTGGAACATCCGAATGGGTAGCTACGAGGGTCTGCCTGGCTGGTTGCTCTGATAGCGATATCTCCCTTGTTACTTTCATTTTCTTCTTTATGGGAACGCCTTTTGGAAGGGACGCCTCTTATTTTCGTGACCATTTCGGCCACTTTCCTGGTTGCCCTTCCACTAAATTGGGGCTCTCCCAATTTTACGCATTTTGCCGAGTCATTTTGGTGCTGAAAAGGGAGAGAAAAAAAAAAAGCCACAACATCTTCCCTGTAGAAGTGGTGCTATTCGGTTCAAAATGAACCTCTACATGCGCACATTTTTTCTTATGTGTGTGAAGGAACTGCTCCGGTGTGGAGGCGCAATAAGATCAAAGCTCGGGAGGATCGAAGCTCAGCAGATTGGAAAAATGGCCCGTACCAGCGACAGTGCATACACCAGAGTGACTAAAAAGAGCAGTAAGAGAAATTTCGTGAAGCGGTCGCCATTGAAGTCCCCCTCGCGTGAGATCCTTTCCTGTATAGTGCCGCATGTGCGTGTGTCCCTACAGGTAGACACACAGCTGCGGTGGTTTCTGAAGGAGACGCTGTCCCAATTTATCCTTCCTTTAAAGCGAGGATTGAGCTCTCTCCCTGGGGTCAACTCTGAGGAAAAGCGTAACTCCGATGTCATCTGCTTGACGCAACCATGGGTCGAAAAATAAAAATCCAAAATGTTCTTACAAGTGACTAATAAGGTTTTAAAAATTAGGAAATGGGAAATGAATAGTCGAATGAAATGAAGACCCCTCATATTTCGCAGTGTGTCAGTTGTAGGGGAGAAAAAAAAAGATGAAGCCTTCTTGACGGCAACAGAATGATTCTACCAGAAGGTGTAAAAGAATTATTCTTTTTCAAACGGTGTGTACGTGACCGGGATATCTCCCTGCCTTCGCCTGCAAGAGAGGACGCAGTTCTGCCGCGGTGAAATTGAATCACGTGAAAGAACAGATAAAGCCCATGGACTGCGAAAGGAGTCATAAAAGAGTGAAGTGTAAATTGATCGCTCTGCAATGCGGAGTTATCAGCGCGTTGTGTGTGGTTGGGGGGAATGCAGAGAGGGCAAAAAAAAAAAAAAAATAATAAGATAAGATAAAATAAGATAGAACAGAAAAAGAAAGAACAAATAAGGAGGGACAAAACAGGAGTTGTCCCCGCTCCGTCAGAGGGACGACTTTTTTTTCGCACATCTCAACAGACTTGAAATTGCTTCTGCAGCCATTTCCGTAGGGGAGTCATGCGAGACGATTATGTGATAGGGGAGGGGCACGCGGTGCATCTCCATCCGCCGGTTAGTGTAGGTGTATGAGAGCTGTTTCCCCTCTCCCCCGCCAACTGGAACTGTATAAAGTTTCCACCTTCTCCGACAAAAGTTGCCTCCTATTCTGTTACACCACCAGCCGGTAGGCTCTTTCAACAAGGAATACACATTTTCCCACGCACCGTAGAGAGGAGATTTACCTCTACACCAGTTTGCAGATCGCATGCCCACATCAGCAGCGCAAAAATCTTGTGAGGGAATTCACAAAAGGGTTTCCTTCATAGTGCAATGTAGGGAGTCGTTCCATTAGGGCTACCCTTCGCCAAGAAAATAGGAAGACTCACACATCTCTCCGCTTCATTTTGGTATGAAGAAGAAATGAAATATCCTCGGAGTGGAGTCTACAAAAAATTTCAAGGCGAAATTATTTCACCTCCCTGATCCGAATGACACAGAAAACGAGGGCACTTTTTTCGCCTATTGAAGTGAAAGCACAAAGGAGTGTTACACAAGTTTGAAGAAAAATGAAGAGCGTTATCTTACCCCTTCCCTCACCAGCACCATATACTGCCATACAATGTGCTCATTTTGGCAGCTTATATTCTCACGGAAAAGCGGAAAAAAAAAGAAAAACCCACTTGGTTGCCACCTCCACAGGGAAGGTATCACCGTCTCGGTAAGGGAGGCAAGGCGAGTTTTCATGGTCCTTCCTAATTTTTAGAACCTCCTAATTGCTGCTACCCAGTGGAAGAATAAAAAGGGGTGAGAAAAGGAGAGGCATATATCGCTGTCTTAATGTTATTTCATATAACTTGTGGGATTTTCTTACATGCCGATAGGCATGGACCCTATCCGTTGTGCGCAGATGGTGAAGTGCCCCTTCGTGGTTAACCCATTTGCTGTTCATACAACACGGTAGAAGTCGTGCAGGATGGTGAACGGGCGTACATTCCTAAAGGGTGAAGTAGCCATTTAGAGAGACATACGCTAAAAAAGGATCGACTCGAGAGGATACCTTTTCTTACAACAAAATTTTCATTCCAAATATAGTCTATTTTCATGTCAACACTCTCCCCCCCGTCCGCTTCGCTCGGGGAGACAAAATAGAAACAGTTGCATTGTACACATGATGCTGCTTCTAGGCTAGGCATGTGGCGAAGCGAACTGCCAAGGTTTCATCTTTGTGGCGATTTCGAAAATTATATACTGAAAGGTGTCGTGAATCATTTTACTTTCTCCGCATTGAGGGGATGAGAAGTATCCTTTTGTGTAGCTGCCAAGGGAAGTTGCACCCGTTTGAAGCAGCTCGTTTTTTTATAAATGACGAACGTGCGAGATGGCTATCCCACTGCTTCATAAATTGTAGCCTCTCCAAAGGGGGAGGTGAACACATATACAACACCGCAGAGAGGGTAATCTGCTTATCCATGGAAGGGGAGAAAAAAAAAAAAGAAAGAAAATGCAACGTTTCAACGGCTAAGCAATGCAGAATTTTATTACCGCTATACTTTTAGCCCAGTTTGGTTACCCCGCATTTCGATTCTTCCTTTTTTAAATTGTCTCAAAGGAGCAGCAACATGCACTTTCCGATGGTGCTCCTTGCGTGCCACATAGCTTATATACCAGCCCGTCGAAATTTCCATCCCTTTAAAGAAAAACACCACAAGGGGAAAGCTTCCTCAATTTAGCCGCTCACTTCCGCGTAGCCGCTATACAAATTGGGATAAAAAAGAAGAAAAAAAAATTGATGGGAAAATCCCACCCTCATCATAGTCACAAAATGAACAAATGAAGTGTAAAAATAATTGGATACAATTCCGCTTCAAACTGGGACGTGTATCCATGTAGCTGTGCTTTTCCTCCCTGCACGTGAAACCCCAATGGGGAGTTTCTTCCTCTGAAAAGCGGTTCCGCTAACGAATCTGCGCACTGTACGGGCAGTGTACGCGCAGAACAGAACAAGTCGTGCTTCTCCCCCCAATTGGTAAAAATGGAAAGTGACACTACAATCTCAAGTTAGGAAGACACACTACAGATAGATGGGGCAGTGCCAACCGTTGCGGTGCCGCTGTCATGTGAACACAAAACTGTTGTGTACGTTCCTCCTTTTGATACATGGGGTGATTTTTCTCCACGTTCCAACAATATGTGCAATTAAACTGGAAGGAAAACAACTCCCTTGGGGGAGAAAAAAGCCTCTCAGGGAAGCAGCTCACTTACCGAAATGCAGACAGCTGAGAAAGGGTACACCCCCCTGGTACATTTCCCCCCCATCGAAGTGTACACACATGGGAAGGACAAAGAAATGTAAAAAGGGTACACTCTCCGCAGCGCATCCAGATGGATCAAGTGAGAGATGCACCTCGGAGGTGTACCAAATTAGGAAAGAAATCTTTTCACATAAGAATATAAAAGACATACTAGAAAGAATCATAATTAGGAGAGTCACTGAGGGACGTCTCAATCGGTATAACAGCTTTTCCTACCTATACAGCCTTGACGAGATAAATGAGCAGCTGACAAACCTGCAGTGCCTTTATGAAAAGTGTAATGATTTGGAGGACCTACCGAAACTATTCGGTCTACCCATCATTTTAAAAGACAACATTTGCACAAAAAATATACCAACAACATGTGGGAGTAAACTTTTAGGAAATTATAAACCATCCTATGATAGCACTGTTGTTAGAAGGTTGAAAAAACATGGAGCTGTAATTGTAGGGAAGACTCATTTGGACGAATTTGCAATGGGATCATGTACAGGACGGGACGTAAAGAATCCCTTCAATGAAGGTTACCTATCTTGTGGTGGATCCTCTGGAGGATCGGCTAGTTGTGTCGGTTCCAGAATTATTAATTGCTCTGTAAATACAGACACAGGCGGATCCATTCGAACCCCAGCTGCGCTATGTGCATGCATAGGGATGAAGCCCACCTATGGAAGGATAAGCAGATACGGCATTATCCCCTATAATGAAGAAACCGATGTGGTAGGACTTATTGTTAACAATCTCTATGACTGTAGCATCATCTTGGATGTCCTTTCCGGAGGAGATAAAAACGATCTAACTACCCTCAAAGGGGGAGAAAAAAAATTTCATTTTAAGTTAAAAAAGTATGAAGCGTCTCTCAACTTTGATCAAAATAAATGCCCACTGAGAAACATGAAATTTGGCTACCTAACGAAGGAGCTTTTAAAAAACTACTTTGTCGATGATCTCACGTATCGAAGCTATTTTCAGGTCATGCAGAATATCGAACAAATGGGAGCAACTCTGATGAAGACAGATCTGTATGAACTGGGAGACTACTGCTATTTGTACTATCTCCACTCTATGACCATCGCAAATAGCAACCTCTCCAGGATTAATGGGATCAACTATAACCTTCATAATGTGCTCGGAAAATCCAATTTTGTTAAACAAGTGAGGTCCACTCTGCTAGGTGAAAAAGTCCTAACGAGAATCATCGGTGGATCCATAATCTCGTCTCGCTTCCAAGGGGGGTCTCTACACCACATCTTCACAACTGCGAAGCGGAGGTTAACTAGAGCGTTGGATACAATTTTTGGCCAAGTAAATTTCCTCTTGCTGCCCTCCCTACCAAGGTCAAACAATTTGAAGGAGTCCATATGCATCCCTCATGGGGGTAACCCCGACCCAGAGAAAGACACCACCCAGGCGAAGCAGCATCCCCCAATCAGTGTGCCTATTTCGCGTCATTTCAGTGGAATGGAGCCTCCCCTTGAGGGATACAACAACTACATGAAGGAAATCTTCTCAGTCGTGTCGTCAATCACAGGAGTCCCGAGCATCGTGATTCCAACGGGGGAATTTACTCCACAGTTGAATGAACCGCAATCCTTTCAACTGCTAAGCAGAAGGTTGGACGAAGCGGGGCTGCTCAAAGTTGCCTTGGCTTATAAGAGACAAATGCACGTGGATAAAAGGGTAGTGGAAAACTTAAGGGGAGTTGCTCGCGGAGTCCACTGAAGAGAAACGGAGTGGTCAACGCGGTGATCGCACATGGAGGTGGAAAAAAGATGAAAAGACGGAAAAAAGCAAAAACAAATAAAACACACTGCAAACAAGGAATGCGTTAAAAAGGGCCTTTTTGCTTAGTCTTTCGGTGACCTTTTCCCTCCAATTTGTTGACCCCTGTTGAAAATTTTCCCTTTTTTTATGTTAACACTTTTTAACGTCACCCGGCAGGGTTAAACATTGCACAAATTTGACCCATACGTAGGAGGCATGCACCGCTTGGAAGTATTCCCCTCGCGTTACGAACACACCAAACGTGCCATCACACATAACTAGAAGAGTTCCTCCTCTCCCTCCTTAACCACAAGGAACGTGTCTGTGTCCACGGGTTGGGGGGCCTCCAACTTATCAGGCTCGTCTTCTCCCGATTGTGCCCTATCCGGTTTGACCATCTCATCAGGCGTAGGTAAACCGTTATGATGTTTCTTCTGGGAGGAGACCGATTGATTCACCTCCCTGGAAGTATCATAATCGCTTGGACAAGAGTCTTCCCCCGCCTGGTCACTCGTCTTTTCCGTTTTTTCGTCACTCTTCCCTTCTACTTTAGCCTTCTTACTATTTCGCAGCTCCCTAATTTTGTTCTTCCTCATTTGTCTTTTTTTCTTTTTTTTTAAACTTTTCTTTTCTATAAACTCAATTTTTTCCTTCCTCTTACTCTGGAATATTTGATTCTGTGTATATTCTTTCCACTTCTTTTCCATCAATTCGAGTCTTTCATTTTCTTCATTTCTTTGTTTTCGGTAGAGATCAAAGTAGTCACTTCCTGCCCCCGCGCTGCTTCCACAAACGTTTGGCACTTTATCCACCTTTATTCTCCCTTTGCTTTTTTCCTTCTCTTTTTCCTCTGCCTGTTTAACGGGCATTCTTATGACCCGCCCATCAGACAGCATGATTTCGTCATCCAGCACTTTTATATCCATTTTGGATCACGTCACTTTGCTGTCCCTTTTTTGTCGCACAGGGGAAGCGACAGCGGAGGCACCGGCAGTAGCGACAGCAGTAGTTTCAGCCGCAGTTGCAGCACCAGTTGCATGTGATTTTATTTGATTAAGCGGAGGATACACACATCCGTACATATATGTTCACAAACACATGCATATATTTTCTTTCTTTTTTGCACAATTGTCCTCGTGCTGCCTCTACCGATGGCGGGGGGGGAACGGGGTCACAAATAGATGCCCCCACGACCCCGCAGGAAATCGGACACCCCCTCTTGTGTGCTTTTCCCCCTTTGGGAAACTCTCTTTTTGTCTCCCCTTTAAAAAATATGAAAAAAAAAAAAAAGGAATTCCCACAATTAGCTTGACGGAATAGCTCGAGGGAAACTCACCCGACGAAGCTATATAACAAACTGGTGACAATATGAATAATTTCGAAGCGGGCGTAAAGTAGGAACATCCTTACGGTTCAGTTGGTTCTTAAAAAAAGGGGGAGTGCGCCAAAGTGACGCAGCGAAGGTCAAATGAAAATTTAGTGACAACTGGCCATGCAACATGAGTGCGCCCTCGGGCGTCAAAGTCCCTGCGTGGGGTTTCAAATGAGTCCAGCGCCGTTTTGCCAAAAAAAAAATTAAGAAAAAGGGGACAAAAGCTGAAAAAAAATGGGCGTAAGTTTGCAAAAAAAAAAAAAAAAGAACCTAAAGTTGTAAGAAAAAAAGCGCCGTACCCGTCTTTCTCCTAATGATATGTACCACTTAAAATGCTGGGAAAAGACGACCTGCCAAATGGGAAGAAGCAGCCGCCCTCTTCCTCATCCTCTTCCCCTTCCCACTCCCTACTACAGCGCCATGCGGTGGATCCTCCCGTCCCGCTCCATCAAACTGAGCTTCTCCAAAAGGAGCTTCTTAAAATAATTGTATAACGACTCGTAGAATAAAACATCATCCAAGGAGTAAAACGTCTTATGCATATTATTGTAAAAGAGCAGCGAATCGTTTAAGTTGGACATTATGCCCGATCTAGCTATGAGAATATTGTTGGAATTCGTTCTGACGGCTATTTTATACCCACGCAAGCTAAGCTCTGATAACAAAACGATATTAATCACATCGTCAGAGGACACCGTGTCATTGTGCATCATTTTCGAATGCGCCTCACTTAGCCGTATCAGACTTTCCAATGTCCTAATGGTCGTTCCGTTATCGCCATTATTATGCTTCCGTAACATCGAATAGTATGTAATTAAAATCAGCTTGGAGGACTTATTAAAATTTGGAGAGCAGTTATTCTTCACGTAGGAAATATACTCCTTCAGCTTTTCGCTAGACCAGATAATTTTTGTGCCTTCAGTTTGAGGCGTCTTGAAGGCGTGTCCTCCGGCGCATTGCTCCTCTTCAGGGGTATTCGCAATGGAGGAGTTCGCACTGGAGAAGTTCGCATGTTCTGCTCCTTTGGCGGAGCGATTCTGCTTACTCATTTTAGCCGAGTTGGTTTGGACTCCACCCCCTCCGCCTCCTCCTCTTCCTCCTGCTGCTGCCGCCCTTGCCGCTCCTCCTCCAACTAGGCGAGAACCCCCCCATCCCACTTCTTGCTGTACAGCGCTTCCCCACAAGCCTGTTCCCTCCTTCACTAAACCACCCGCAGCAGAACCAGACTGCACATCTTGTGACAACACATAGTCAGCAATCTTCGAATCAATTTCATTATTATCCTCTGCTATGACAACCATGTCGAATCGGCTGAACAGTGTGTAGGAGAGGTTAATAATGAGAATCTTATTGTCACAGGAAGATAAATTTCCCTGAACCGTTTTATGTAACTCGAAATTAGACGCACCGATAATAGTGCACCGACAATTTAATTTATCCACGATACCACCCTTGGCTACTGAAATGGTTAGCTGTTCCATTGCCTCGTGAATAGCATTCTTATTTTCATTCTTCATGAGACAAAATTCGTCAATGCAGCAGACTCCATTATCTGCCAAAACTAGAGCTCCACTTTCCAGCATAAAATTGTTCCCTTCTTTTATGGCTGCACAAGTCAACCCAGCAGTGGTACAAAACATACCTGACACGTTCATGCAGATGTTGCTTATTTTTTGTACTTCCTTCAGTAGCTGCGATTTTCCTGTCCCTGGATCTCCCACCAGCATCAAATGGCACAATGTTCTCTTGTCACAATTGTCGGAAGAGAAATTCTTTCCTCTCCTCTTCCTGTGCTTTGCTCTTTCTTTTTCTCTTTCTCTGCGTCGTTTCCTCGGTTCGTTTTGGTTTACGTCCTTTGTGCGTCCGCCCTGCTTGGTGTCATCCCCCTTTGGCCTCTTCGCCTTAGTTACATGTGCCTTTTGGGAAGTGGAGGAGTCACCTTCTCCTGCCTGCCCCTGCTCCTCGTCGTCAGTGCTATCCGCCCCGCTATCCTCACCGCTATCCTCATCCCTATCTCCGTCATCGTCGTAGCCGCCTGTCCGGTGCACCCCCGTCCCTGCCCTTCCATCGCTGCGGTTGAAATACTTCTTCCACTTATTATTCTCATTGTAAAAGGAATCATGCTCATTTATTTTGTTCCCCCCTATTAGCACCAGCAGGACTGATATTTTGGACAACTTGCAATTGTACAAATTGGGGCATAAACTATCGCACAGGTGTCTCTTTCCTTCCAATTTGTTATTTTTGAAGAGGAGCCAATATTTTTCAAATAGGCTCCTTTCTGAGACATCTATCTTTCCATCCGTCGTGTTTTCGTTCAGCTTATTTTTTTTCCCCTTCATTTTGCTACCACTTGGGGGAGTGTTTCCAGAGCCCTTCTCAGGATGTGTCCCCTCTTGTGTGTCTTTATCCCTATTTGTTCCAATGCAAATGCCACTGCTCAGATGTGATGAGCTTATGAGCCTTCCCTTTTTATCGCATGTGGGGCTCCCCGCGGGATCATCCCCCAGATTACCATCCACCTCAGCGTTGTTTTCTTTGTCTGTAAGGACACCCTCCCCAGTGGCTGCCTCCTCTCCACACGCCTGCGCCTCATTCGTTAGGGCATTTATACACTTGGCGAACTCGTCGTCCATTTCTACCTCTTTGCACCTTGAGCCTTCCAGTTCTTTAATTTCGATATTGTTTGCTTCGATAAACAGCTCTGAGTCGCACCTAATGTCTTTATATAACTTCTTCCACCTCCGCAGGATGATGCCATTTATAATGACTTTCTTTCCCGGGTGATACTTCCCAGCTAGGTTTTCCAAAAGGACCACCGTAATGGAGTATGGGATATTCGTTTTACTCGTTTCCTTTATTTTTATTTCTTGGTAATCTACTCGTTTAACTTCGCTCTCTAAGAATTCGAAATTTGTGCCATTACATTTTTGTTCACTGTATGGATTCTTACTATAACCGTTTCCGTTGTGTGCCACATTCGACTTGGCATTGCGTCTGTTGCCATTCCACTTTGACCTATAATTAGCGTCACCGTGAAGACTATTTTTGCTGCCATTTTTGGCGTCGCTTTTAATATACGGCACTGGTTCCCCCGTCTTGCTTCCTTGCCCCGTCTCTTCCTTCCTATACTTCCTTCTCAGGTGCACTTCTTTCCTTCCTACTTCGCTTAACAAATCGTTTCTATAGCAAGGGTGTATATTCGTGTTAATCTGCGAATTGGGGCACTTAAAAACCGTTTCTGTGTTGTAATACAATTCGGGAATGGCTTTTTTTTTAATTATGTTATCACACCTCATACATCTGTACTTTTTGCATTCCTCCAATATTCTCTTTTCTCCCACCCGGGTTATTATCCCCTCTGTGCTTACAAACTTCCCGATGTGCTTACTTCGTATTTCTTGCAAATAGTTAATGTGGACATCATGGAGGTAGGGCACGTTTGTCACTCGGCACATAATTTTTATATTTTGTTTGCCGAAGATCATTTTTAGGCAATTATTTATTTTGGCTTTGGTACTTGCGTCTTTTAAAAAGGGGTAATCTTTGTATGAGTACAGAATCCCTTTTATCAGGCACGAACTGTAGACGTCGATTTCTTCCATAACTTTCCTGTCTTTGCCGAAATTGTACACTATGAAATCATACAGGAAGGGGTCTTCTTCGCGCCGTTCCTCATCCGAATCTATGGACGTGCTTTCCCTCTCATCGAGGGTTCCTCCATTTCGGTAGCTTCCCTTCTCATCGAGGGTTCCTCCATTTCGGTAGCTTCCCTTCTCATCGAGGGTCTCTCCACTTGGGTAGCTTCCCTTCTCACCGATGGTCTCTCCACTTGGGTAGCTTCCTTTCTCATCGATGCTCCCTCCATTTCGATTGCTTCCCTTCTCTTTGTTAATCTCCTCGGTTAAGCCTCCATCCTCGGCACCCGCGTTTGGCTCTTCCACTATGCTATCCTCGCCTGCCGCTTCCTTATGCTCCCTCTTCGTCAAGATATTTCCGTACCGATCAGAAGCGCGACCGTCTTGCGGTAAACCATCTGTATGTACCAACTGGACACCGGCAGCATCCCCCCGATTGTCCACATCAATGGTAGGCGAATGGCTCCTCCCCTCCCCAAGGTCGCTACTATCACTTACGTCCTCTTTTGCTTCTCTCCTATGCAAAAACTCGAAATAGCAACTCAGGAAGATAAGTCGAAAGAAAAAAGGAATGGAGTAGTTGTTCATAACATCGATAAATTTGTGGAAGCTATTCTGCATGTAATAAATCAATTTGTTTTCTCCATGCCGAATCGCATCGTACGTGTCAAAATAAAAATTGTATATGTGCTCATTGCTTCCTTGTTCACTGTTTTGAATATGCGAAAATTGGATGTCTTCTATTTTGCTAATATAGCTAAGTGCAATTTTTTTTATCTGTTCATAGTACTTTCTATTTTTTAAAAACAGTTTGATTATTATTTTATTGAAGAATTTCACATTTTTTATGTTTTCATCTGCGTTGCTGTAGTTGCCATCGTCCTCACTGATAACACCATAATCAGTATCGCTGAAAATGGTGGATTCGGAGCTGGAAAGCAACATGTTCAGTTAGGATAACCGCGTGAAATGATCAGTTGTTGTGAACTGTCACAGAGTACACACTTCACAGCTACCATACTGAAGGCAACGGATTTGGGGAAAACATTTGTCCCTGTGTGAGCACACGGAAATGTGCATCAAAGGGGAGGAATGCGCAGTATGTGCAAGAAGAGCGGGTTACACTGCATTGAGTCACACCATATTACATCCTAGCACATTGCAAAAATAAATACTACGTGAATGTTAATTTTTTCACTCACACCTTTTTTAGCCTATACGAAGGTAAAAAAAAAATAACAAAAACAATTCGGTGAGGAACATATGGAATAAAATAAATTTAAAAGACTCATTCACAAAGTTGACGCTTAAAAGAAGAAAAGAAAAATAAATAAAATAGTACACGTAAGAGGGAACAGTTGCAGGTCTTTTGCATGAAAAAACTGGTTACTTAAGTTAGCTCTCTGTCTCTATCTTTCTCTTTCTCTCTTTCTTCTTTTCTTCCTTCTTTCTATTTAGGAAGTTCGCGTCAGTTTATGCGCCTTCGCCGAATTATTCAAAATGCGTATGTGTTTAAATTAGAAAATTAAAAATGGAAAATACCATTTGGCACCTTGACCCTTTGACATTTTGACAGTTTATCAGTCTGAGAAAGTATGAACTGATGGAGAAAAAAAAAAAGAAAAAAATTTGCAGTGCATTACGAGCTTTTTTTTCTTTTTCCTTTTTTTTGTTCATAATTTGTTCTGATGTTATCCTTTTCCTAATTCTCTCCCCCTTTGACACGCAAGTGGTGTACAGGACCATGTTGCATACATTTTCGTTTTAACGAAAAAAAACCTAATCGTGACTCCTCCCCAAAGCGTAGAGAATTTATTAACAAAATTGCAAAACAGGTTGCAAACGAGACTAATTCTTTTATATGAACCGTTCAGGCAAAAAAAAAAAAAGAGAGAAAGTTCAAATATTTAGTAGCATTAAAATGCTGCAAAAGTGACAAATTAGCTGTAAAAGTATTTTTTTTCTTTTTTTTTCTTTCTAATGTGCATGAAAAAAAAAAAAAAGTTGCACAAAATTTTTATGGCTAGAAAAATACAACTTAGTATTTTTCAAAGTGTTTGTCCTGTTTGCGCAATTTTCCACGAACGTTGAACAGGTTCACGTTTAAGCTCATTCTCATTCGTAAAAAAAATGCCTAGGGGTGTTGATAAAATTGTGCCGATTTTGCACAAGTGTCATCGCCCTGGGAGGGAAATGCCTTGGTGTAAAATTATGCAACTGTTGGTGCGGGGTGTACCAGTAGGGTAACGCATTGCGCGAAGGAAAGGAAATTCCGCTTAGAAGGGGGGAATACCAGCCGCAGTTAAAGCATACGCCCATACGAACGTGCATAGTTTACCCGAACAGAACCCTTTTTTGAGATACTGACATGCACGGCTTCATTGTGAGCTAAATTAGGCGTTTGCTTCGCTTTGGTTTGCTTCGGATTGGTTTGCTTCGGATTGGTTTGCTTCGGATTGGTTTGCTTCGGATTGGTTTGCTTCGGATTGGTTTGCTCTGGATTGGTTCGCTCTGCTTTGGTTCGCTCTGCTTTGGTTCGCTCTGCTTTGGTTCGCTTTCCTTTGCGATGCTTCGCTTACCTTTGCCGAAATTCGCCCCATTGGTATGTTTATCGCATTGGCCCCAGTTTGTTCACTTTCTGGTAAAACCCCATTCTTTACTCGTAAATTGCGCGAACGTGAAAAATGCGCCTTTACATTGAGGAACATTTGGAAAGGGTCTCTACTACTTTCTTTGTCACGCAGAGGAAGCTGTAGCCACAGGTGACATTCGACGCTTTGCCTATTCGCCCGTTCGCCTGTTTTGCTATTTTATTTTTTCCCCATTTCTCGCCTTTCTGCTCTTAAAAATTCGCTTGTCATTTTGCCCTGCGAGGCATTGCGCATGAAGTTCATTTGCCATAGTCGCTCCATGCACCATAATTTGATAAATATGTGTCATTACATTTTTGTGCGGCAAAACATCCCCCCGCATGTGCCTACCGATATATATATATATGCTTAGGTATGTGCATAAGCGTAGTTTTCCGTGCGCCTCTGTTTTATACGGTTGCACATGCCTACTGGTATGTGTAACACGGTTAGGCACTGTACACATATTGTAATGTGAGGAGATGTTTTTTTTTTTTCGTCCATTTGTTGTACTCCCATTTGTTGCACATCCGTATGCTATACGTTGTATATGTGTGTAAGCGTTTTGATGGGCACCAGAGTTTGACGCATGCCTCTTCTCTTCTTCTGTAACAACAAGCCATCAGTGGGGAAACAGTTGCATTGTCATTTCAGTGCGTGTGATGAAGGGAAGTTCCCATTACGACAGTGGCAGGTACATTGTGTTCAAAAGGAAGCACTCCTTGCGATGCTGGCAAAAGTGAACATCAGGAGGTATGCATAAGGGAAGAAAATACCACTGCCTTTGCTACTGCGAGGGATGTAGTTGAACTTGTGCAATTTTTAGTGAGACAAATTTTGAAAAGGAGGAAAGCGTTGCAAAGGATCCAAATTGTAGGTGTACAGCTGTGTTGTTCATCGCACGGAGATCGGATAGATTGACGGTAAAGTCTTATTTGTACGGGAAAGCGAGTCTTGTCATATGTGGCGACTGGCCGATTGTACGCGCTTTTGTTATGTGTATGTTTGTATGTTTATATTTTCTGTATGCATGTGCATTCGCTTCCTCCTTTCCGTACATCACTACAGTTAGCCACACGTAAATGACCCCGGAGTGTTTTGCGACTCCGCTGAGGAATGCGCACCGTTCGTACACCCCGAATATTTCTGTTACAGGGGACACTTCTCAACAAGTGATATGCACGCATGTGGGAGAGCTAACAAAAGCTTAGAGAGCAGCCACTGTGCATTTGCATATATGTAGGTACATATGTGTATGTCCATATGCATGCCCATTTTGGCACCCATTGGTATAACCCCCGTTGTGCGCACCCAGGTGTATGAGCCTATTTACGTGAACTTGCACACGGGAGGTGTGTAGAAAATAGCACAAGGTGTCCCCCCCCAAAGCAGAGTTGTCCAAAGGGGGTGCCCCCTTTTCTTGCCCAATAAGACAACTCAGTTAAGATGAAGGCCAAGTTCAGCAACAAATCATCCATAGCTAGTGCTGAGGAAAGTAAAAATGAAGAACTTGACAGGGAATATTACAATTGTATAAAGAACTGTGCCAGTGATCTGCAGAATCTGTCTTTAAATTTTTTCCCCTCAATAAATACGTATACATGCATTCCCAAAATAAATGCCATAAATTCGATAACCTTCCACCCATGCATTTCGAGCCAGGATTATTTTAACAACACGTATTCGTTTAAGCCTCTCTTCACACATCACTTCTTTAGTGACAGCGAGCAGGTCATCGGGTTCGACAGTCTCAAAATAGACTTTTACTACACTTGTGATAGCTATGATGTGTTTATGAAACTGAGCGGGTCGATAAGTGACCAATATGAGAATTCAAACTACATTATGCTGATGCTGCTACAGAGCTTGTACATTACGACCCCGTACCCAGGTGGGTTCGTCGAGACGGAGGAGAAGTTCCTAAGAATTCTTAGAAGAAACGAAGGGGTGCAGCGAAATGAACAGAGCGGAGGGAAGGAGGATCCCCAACCGAGTGCCACCAACCAAAGTGCTGCTCTAACTCAAGACAAAATTTACAAACCTCCCGGGTTTATCATTTACGAAAGGAAACTCAGTGATGATATTTATTTGCAGATAAGGAAGTGTGGATTCTCTTCCAAATATTTTAAATTGGAAAGTATCAACGGTATGGAGAGGGAAGAGGAGGAAGAAGAAGAGGATGACGAGGAGGAAGAAAATCTGGGAGGCGAAGATGACGGTGTCTACCAAAACGGCTTTACAGATGTGGTGAAAAATGAGATCACCCTTTCGAAGGATCGACCCTGTACCCCCCCCAAGAATGACAAGAGTAGAGACAGAAGAGGGAACTCAGTTAAGGAAACAACGACTGAGAATAAGACGAGTACAAAAGGGGGACAAATTAACACCATCTCCGTACCACCCAGTGATAATCATAACGTGAAGGGGGGATCTCCAAATGAGCCATGTGATGATCACACGAGGAAGGGGGAGGCGAACGAATCTGCCACGTCAAAATACTTCATTAATGACGATAACTGTGGGAGTAGCACCATGTCCAACGAATGCAATAAAGAAATCACCATGAAGAGGAGGAACTCGAAGAATTCCTTCGTCGGATCGTCAGCAGGAAGGAACGCAGAGTCCAAGTCGAACAAGGAGAAGATAAAAAAAGAGAAAAAGTCAGACGAGCTCACCCCAAGCGCTGAAATTGATGGCGCTCCTTTTGATATTGATGACTCCCTCGCTGAATCGAAAAAGGCAAAGAAGAACCTCACAAAATTTGTTACGGAGAGGGATATGTCTAAACTTTACCGACACTACTTGCGCGTCGTGAGGGCCAAGAGCAGAAGCAGCATCATCGCGAGGGGTGACACCCTCAATGGGAAGATCTCCGCGTGGAAGAAGTTGGAGCAGCAGAACGGTTCGGGAGGGTCCGCTCTGGGAAGGGCTGTTGTAACTGCGGCTGGGTCGGGGGCGACGGAGGCAGGACAGGTGGACGAGGGAAGCGCCCCGAACCAACCAGGTGTAGCCACCCAGTCGGGAGCGGCGGCTGCGTCGGGAGCGGCGGCGGCTATCGATTCCACTTGTGCAAAGAAAGGGGGTACACAAAAAAAAGCAAGTGCTCGAAAGGGAGAAATTCCGGCGAACAAAGCGGGTTCTGCAACAAAAACGGGTTCGCCCAACCAGCGAATGTCAACACATAAGGGTGCTTCTCCAAATCAATCCATGCAGTCCCCCTCCATCGAGAACGCACGTGATGAGAAAGAAACAAACAACAGGAAGAGGAAAAAAATTCGAGAAGAACTCCTTGGGGTGAAGTACGACTACACAGTTAAGAACAACTTCGAGCTGCTTCACAGGAAGGTAGAATGGTTCTACCACTGGTTCATCGAAAGCGCCTCTAACATTGAGTATGATTATCGGTGGAGCGTCATATTACCATACATAGTTTTCAAGCATGATGAGGAGAACAAGTTCAGAGAAAATAATTTCATCGAGGATTTAAACGTGCAGTTACGTAGAAACCGAACCTCTAATGTTAACATTAGTCCTAGTATCAAGGTGGAGGGTGTGTCCCCCCCAAGTATTGCAATGGATAACAAGGAAGTGTTTGTCCCCAAGGGGGAGGAAGTAGAGACTGAGAACAAGAAGCAACTTAAACGAGGAGGAACAACGGTAACGAAGGAAAAGAAGGAAGTTAAGAAAAGGAAGAAGGATGAAGGAGGAGCATCAGCAGGAGCAGAAGCCGCAGCAGCGCCAGGGGGTGAGGAAGCGAACCCAGAGGAGCAGACAGACGAGTGTGGGCGGGAGAATCAACTTGTCGGAGAGCGTGAAAGTCAAGAAGAAAATGATGAGCAGAGGGAGAAGGATCAAAACGAAGTAATGGTGAAGAAGGAAAGCCAGGATGACCAAGAGAAGAAAAGGAACGAAAAGGATAGCAATAAAGAAGGAGAAAAAATTCAAGACAATTACAATGTTGGGCACATGGAATCCATGTTTGACCCAAACGAGTACGTCCTTACCAGCGAGGTGGTCACTAAAGCGATTGAAAATACACTGAAGGATGTACAAAGTAAGGACGAAGAGGAGTATTACTCATTCCATAAAAATTACGATGTGATTTATTTGTACTCCGATTTGGAGAAAGGCGGGGCAGAAGCATCGAATGTAGAAGGGGGAGAAGCAACCAATGCCGGAGCGGGTGAAACCACCAAAGGGGCAGTAGAAAAGTCCAAAGCAGGGACCGACGTGAAGGGAGAAAAGAAGACAAGAGCGAGAAAAGGATCCGTGACAAGGAGAAAAGAAATACACCTCAAGGGGGAAGAACTTATGAAACACGTTACCAATGATCAGGACGGAGAAAAAAAAGGGGGAAAAAATGACGAAAAAAATGAAGAAAAAAATAAAGATAAAAAACAAAGTTTATACTATTTTTACCTATTCGGATTGGCAACCACCTACACCTTCTTTACCTTCCAATTTGATCGAAACAGAATTTCGCAATTTCTAATTTTCCCACCGATGCAGAGCAAAGGATTGGGAATGAAGGTGTTGGAGAAGATCTACCACCTATCTATCGTTAATTCGAATGTGAAGGAGATTACTGTAGAGGATCCAGCCGTCTCGTTCACTCAGCTGAGGGATATCATCACGATCAAGATGTGTATTGACTTAAGATTTCTCAGCCCCACCATCCTGTACCCAAGTGATTATTTAAAAACAAAAAATATCGACAAGGAATATGTCGAATTGGATAAGAAAAAGTTTATGAAGGTCTGCAAAGAGACACATAAACAGATTACTAGGATGATTGAGACTTTGTTGTTGGCAGGTGTCTTGCCCCACCCCCCTCCGTGTTATGTCGATATCGGAGAAGATAAAGCCTCGACCATTAGGAGGAAGGAGAAGAAAAACGAAAATGCGGACTGCCTCACTTCGATGGAGCATTTCGAATCGTCCGACTTGTGCAAAGATGTCCGCATCAAAATTAAGAAACGCATTAAAAATGATTACATCGGAAATCTGATTAATAAGAATATGAACTGCATGGCAAGCGACGTCTTCCAGGACTACGTAATGGAGAGCGGCCGAGCGCGCGCCCCGCGGGGGCGAATCGTCATGCGGTGTGAATAACCATAATGCGCTTCTCAGCACCATCGCATTTTCCTATTTGCGCCCCAGGAGCGACACACACACATGAAAGAGCGAACCACACAGGATCACCCATTACGTGCACATCGTCCCTTTTCTTTTTTTTTCTCTCCCCCCCTCCTTCAGGTCAAAGAGGAGCTTTGCAAACTTTGGAAGAAACAGTGTAAGGTTTACTACAGGTGAGTAGCGATGGATAATGGGAGAGGCATTTAGCATAGCGGGAGCGATTGCCAATGATACAGACACTGCTATTGGTTGGAGTGCCCCTCTAACACATCCATATCCTTGTTATTCCCGGATGGAAACTCGACTTCCAACTTCCAAATTGGAGAAGCAGCACCATCCATTTGGTAAATTCTTTTTCTCTTTCCCTCTTCCCTCCTCGCAACCCGCAGGACGATCAGAAAATTGAGGTCCCTCTACCCATTGTAGTGACACGTGCAGGCGTGAAATGAAGATGACCGGGACAAGCATCATGAGAGAAAATTTCATCTACGGGTTCATTTTTCCCTGAGTGTTTTTCCCCATCTGAGTAGTGTGCCCCCCCCCTACACAGACAGGTACACACACACACGCACACGCGGTGGTACTCATGGGGGGTGCAATGAGGTGGAGATAAATGCCCAATGTACACGCATCAGTTCGTGTGGACATTTAACGAGACGTATGCGAGGGGGCAGCGTTTCCGTTCCCCCAAGCGACGAAAAAAAAAAGAAAAAAAAAACGACTCGGTTTTGTCACGTTTGTAACGTTCTTCACAAAGGGGCAATATATATATACACTTTTGATTTAACTTTTTTTTTTTTTTTTCCTGTTGAATTTGCCTCCTTCATCACACAGGTGCGCAAACCGTTGCATGATCAATTGCGTGCCTAGCGAGAGAAGGTGGCGGTCGACCATGTGTCCTCCTCTCAGCCACGACAAGAGGGTGGAAGCGCATAAAAGCACGGATAAGCAGGACATAGGGTACCAGACAGTTACGAGAGGGAGACATCGTACGAGTGATCCCTACTAGCCCGATGAATCCTCCTCGTCATATTCATTTTGATTATTCACGGAGGGCTCATCTTGCATGCCTAAAAAGATATTGTTAAAGTCTTCATCATTCTGGTGTTTATATTTCGGCTTAGTAATGCACGAAATGAAGAGAATTCTTCTATTCTTTTTCGCAAAAAAAAAATAATTAAAGCTTGAAATGCTTTCTTTGTCCACATACGGATCATTGTCTGTGTCATTCAAGTAGGTGTACACATCACAATATTTAAAATCGATGAGCTCTTTTAAAATCTTCCAAATCCTTTTATTAAAACCGCGATATATATTCTCAATGACGTAGAATAAACTATAATTAATGGTATCGATAACTGTGTCCATATTTTTTATCTGCTTCAAATTGGACTTATTTAAAAATTTAAACTCATAATCTGGGAATACATAATTTAATATGTTGATAACATCTGTGAGGATGTTTTTCTTCTCCTTAGTGTTTATCAATTCTGGCACTTTTTTCTTTATCGGAGTTTTCTGTGCCCCCCGTTTTCTGCTACAATGGGTAGTGCTCGTCGTGTCTGCTGCTGTCCCAACTGAGGTGGATATTTCTATACTTGACGGTGTAACCTCCTTGCTGCTGCTGCCGCTGTTTCCGCTGTTTCCGTTGTTGCCGCTGTCGCCGCTGTTTCCGTTGTTGCCGTTGTTTCCGTTGTTGCCGCTGTTGCCGTCTCCTGCTAAGTCCGCTCCTACACTGCCGCTGTAACTGTGGGGCGCTTTGTCAATTTCTTCGAACAACTCAATTTTGGCTTCGATAAATCGGTCGTGTGCCTCAAACCTTTCTAAAATTAAATTCACATCGTTCAGGTTTGCAATGTCTAGGTTGATCATTTTGCGCTGCCTCCCTGCGTGTGGTCCCTGCTGGCTTCGTTCGATTCGCCCTACTCGCTTCTGTCTCAGCTGATTTATGCTGATCTCTCCGCTGCTAACTCCGCTTCTAACTCTGCTTGTCTGTCTCGCACGCTGGCTCTGCCGCTTCCCTTGCCGTTACATTGTAACGAGAATAGGAGGGAACTCGGAGCGGCCTTTCTTCTAAACTTCGAGTTCGGCTGCATCGCCTGCTCAGAGAGGCGTGCAAATCGCGGGGGCGCGGCGCGGCTGCTTTCTGCACTTTCTCATGTGCTTCCAACCGTCCCGGGGGCAAGAAGGGGCGGCGGGGAAAGCAGCAGTGAAGCGGCTGTATACCAATGATGCGGCTGTATACCAATGATGCGGCTGTATACCAATGATGCGGCTGTATACCAATGATGCGGCTGTATACCAATGATGCGACAGTATACTAATGATGCAACAAGGGGATGAAATTAACAAAATGACGAACGGGGAATCGCACGATGCAAATCGCCCTACGCACCGCGCTCGGGTCGTAGTTCGTCCCCCCTTTTAGGCCAAAAGCGTGAACTGCGGAAAACTGCGTCCCGCCCTCGTTACGCGGCGTAGTTGAATAGGTGCCAAGGGGCGAGGATGGACATGTGCATTTATGTGTACATTTATATGTACATTCACATGCACAATGTTTGTTTTGTTTTTCTTTTATTTTTGCGTGCTCCCATCAGTACACTAGAACAAACGAACTCCCGCAGTTGTGTGCTTGCCTTAATTGAGGAGTGAAAACATGGCAGTCATTTTTTTTTTTTTTCTTTATCCCCGTTTTTTTTTGCTCTTTTCCCCCTCTTACAATGAGAAAGAAAAGGCGTGCAAGCCAACATGCATTTTGCACGAGTGATCTGCAATATACGCATGTCCTCCTTTCGAGGGAATAAAATTATTTTCTAAAAGGAACTAAAAATGGAGAGCCCCGGAAAAAAGTGAAAAAAAAAAACAAAAAAAAAAAGTTAAAACGTGAGATAAAATGTTGGATAAAATGCGGCATACAAGGCCGGATCAATGCAGTATACAACGCGCGATACAATGAAGGATACAACGCGCCAAACAATGAAGGATACAACGCGAAGTACAATGCAAGATACCATGCCGGATGAATGATGGCTGAGGTCACCCCTGACATTGTCGCTAAAATAAAGACAATGCGAGGAACGAGTTGCATCGCGAAAATAAAAAAAAAAGGAGAGTAAAATTTTCTGCGTTTCGTTTCATCGCTGAGCAATTCTAAATTGCGTACAGCGAATGCGTTTTTTTTATTATTCTATTTTATTATTTTTCTTTTTTACGTACGGTGCGCACGTGCGGGTGCATGCCGGTAGGGACTGCGAAAAGTACGTAGAGTTATGCGCTTTCAACGGCTTCGCGAAAATGGCCGATTGAACGATAATTGTCGCAACAATTTCGAGCGTATACTTCGTCGAATTGTAGTAGGCCCTTTTTAAAGCCATTTTTGTGCACATAAGAAAGTATGCGTTTTTTCTTCTTTCCTTTTTTTTTTCTTTCTCCTCTGTATGGGCGTATAATAGCAGCGAAGAGAAGAATCTAGGGGCCAATTGCACAAAAAAGGCCATGCTGATCATATGCGTGCCGCCTTGTGAGAAGGGAGGAATCCTCAACTGGGGGATGCCCACAAGGAGGCGAGCAAAAGGAATCGAAATGACGTACAAATGGGGATGTTGTGATGTTACAGTGCGTGCAGGGATACGCTGCTCCCTCCCATCCTCTTCGCGATTTAAAATGCGTACACTAGTACAAGGGAAATATAAACATCCCAACCTACGCTGACTTGATTCCTTATCCTTTGTATTGTCTTAACAAATATGTGCACATTTTCGCATGTTTAAAGGACGAACTAGTTCAAGTGGTCATCATGGCTTGTATTTGGGGAAATGCCACAAATGCCATTCTGCATTTACAGCGTCGCTGCAGTTACATGCAGGGATTAAAATAAAAAAAGTATCACTTTCTTCTGTTCGTACGCGAGGGCGGATTTTCCTTCGTCCAGTGTGTCACTAGGCCATTTTGACATCTCCCTTCCTATTGAGTCTGCCTTTTCCCCAAGCCACACTCCCCCCCATGCTTATCGAATTTAATATAAGTCCCTATCAATTTGAGAAAAAAAAAAAACGAATTCGCTTCTCCTTAAATGGTTCCTAACTGGACGTGGTTATCTCCCCCCATGAGGGCCGTTCGTTCGACCGGACGAGATGAACCCCTCGAAGGGAAGAAAAAAGAATGCTTCTCACTTGACGCCTTCATACGGTGTGCACGTCAAGATGCGTATATATATGTACCAACTTACAGAGGAAAAAAAAAAAAAGGAAAAAAACAGCTCTAATAGGCAACACTTATAAGAGGGGGTACTTCGGAATAGTACACTCCGATTGTAACTTTTTCCCTGTTGAGGCTTTCCTCTTATAAAAGGGTAAAAAAAAATTCATGAACAAACGGCAACTGAGAATTGAGCAAGCTAAATTTTTTTTCTTTTTTCTAAATTTTTACCTTGCCTGTTCAGATTTTTTTTAAGGATTTTTTTTTATTTTACATTTTTTGCTCCAAAATGGTGAGTCATAGAAAAATGTCTTCGAAAATGTCCGCGAGGTAGAAGCCAAGATTGTGGTAACTTAGCCTAACAGAGGAGGTACCTCCTGTTATGCTGCTCATCAAATGAGCCCCCCCGCCGGGGAATGCGTCACCCTGCGAAGCCTATGCAGCCAAAATGAAAGGGAATTTCCTCCTCTTCAGAAATTATGCAAAATGGCGCAAACGAGGCAGTCATCAGATGGGCACAAAATGGTATGCCCACAGTGTAGCAGAGCTGGTGAATACCAAAAATAACGGTGGAGAGAAGAAAAAACACCTTTCCGAAGGTCATTTAAAAGATGGAATTAATAAATACGCAAGTGAAGCTCCAACACGAGTCAGCGTCCTAAATGCAGATTTCGCGGAGAAGGTTAGTCATCACGATTATGACTATGATGATGATGTCGCTTTGATGCGCGATGCGCAGGGGGTTGCTTACAAAAACGAGAGGAAACCACATGACCAGATAAAATTACGGTGTGCAAAAAGTCTCAGACTGTTAAGCATGTGCGTAGTCACTTCCTTGTTCTTCTATTGCACATTTAAGAAAGTGCCAGAGGGATATATCTGTTTACTGCAAAACAAAAATGACGCCACAGTATTGCCATACATTTATGACGATCTGATGACGTTTTTTTTTAATCCGTTGAAATATAAAGTTCATATAATCAGAGTCGTTCCAATTCAGAAGAAGTTTATACGTGTGTACGAGACGTTGGATAAAAAGAAAGTCCGCGTAAAATTACAAGTCAAAATGAAACCCAAAATTCCGTTTATCATCGAAATTTTTAGTTCCTTCGGGGTTAATTACAGCACGAATTATATTGAAAAGGAAATGAACTTGGACATTATGAATGTTGTGAAGAATTATCACTTGGATACCTTAGTAGAGGAAAATAAAGAGGCGACTCGTATGCCAGACGTTACAGTGGAAGACGCAGTGGATCAAATTATGGACAGATTTTACGACTGCTCCGTTTTTCACAAGATAATTCTTTTGGATGTCTCCATCCTGTTTGAACGGGTAGAATAGAGAAAAGAGGCCACCACGTTTAAAGCACGCAACGTTTCGTGAAAAGCCTGGCGCACGCGCGGGGGTACACTTATTAAGGGCATCTACCACCACTCCAGACGTTGCCAAATTGGGCATATAGCTAGCCAGTGTGCAAATCTTCATCTCTGTTTTTTTTTTCCTATCATGCGACACAATTACGCGGGGTTGGTTGAATTACGCCTCCCGCAGTCACCGCGGTAACGTTACAACTGGTGAATTCTCCACTTGGTTCATATGAGTTAGCCACTTTGCGAAATGTGCATTTTTGTCCAACTTCCCCTCCCCCGGACTGTTATGTAAAATTACAGCGGGGATTTGCGCAAGCCAAATTGCCGCAAATCCAATTTGTGACGATAAGACTTGCGAGGATCAGACTTGCGACGATCCATTTTGTGATGATCCCATTTGAGCCTTCGCCAGCATCCAGTTAAATGCCTCCGCGGTGGGGCTCCATTCTATTACGCCAGCGCGTGTGCAACAGTACCGCAAAACGGCCATGCGAAAAGGTTGAGTCCTTTTCTGAATGATGCAACGGGTTGGGAAACAAAAAGAAAAAAAAAAAGTAACAACGCAATGGAAAGCTTTAAAACGAGTGAATTATTCTTTCAAAAGTTGCAAATTAAGATGAATGAAATGGAAATTAAATTAAGTTAGATCACATTGCGCCACGTAGCATTGAATTCGAGCCTACGGGAACTTCTTCCCTCGCGTCTGTGGGTTAATGTCGCCAATTTTCCACTTTCAACTGAACCGTTCAGGCAAAACACGATTTAAGCGCAGAAAAGGGGTAACTTGGTCGTTTCGTAAAATTGTCACATCGTTATGTAGATAGTCTCCGTTTTGGCCCCCCTCTTTTACCCACTCACATTATTACTTCGCCGAACTTCTAAAAGCAGTGGGCCGCAAATGACCCCCTGCTGCTGCAACTTCTGATGAGCATTGTCACAATAGGGGAAGTTATTCGATTTCCAACATCTGCACACGGAAATTTTTTTGGATTTTTTTAGCGGAGGGTACACTTTCTCGACGTGGACAGCCTTAAAGTTCCGCACATTTAAAATGTCTCCTTTTTTTCTAAAAACGTCAATTGACTTTTCCTTTCGTAATAAGTTCCCCATCGTTCTTTGAGTTGCCACAAGACGGTGCCTTTTCTCGCGTCGTTCACACTTCTTAAATATGATTTGGAGACCTGTTTCGTCACTGCTACGGGTTGCTACATATGACAGGGGTTAGAATGGACAATCAAGTGCATCGTTACGACTATGCCGTTACAACTGCGGCGTCACGTTTATATGCTTCTTAAAGAGGCGACTTCGGGGCGGAGAACAAACATACATTAATATTTTCTCACTTTTCACATAGGTCATACCATTTTTTTTTGTCATTCCTCCAATGCGACAGATGTCTTTTTTTTTTTTTTTTTTCCCAAATTAAAAAGTTATTAATTCTGGCTTGGCATACTTTCCCCCCTTTGATAGTACAAAAAGGGACCACCACACGTGTGCACGGGAAAAATAGGCAACACGAAACTAAGGCGCGTCAAAGTGGGGTTAAGACGAGAGGGGGAAAAGAAAGGATTTCCTATTTGTGGAGGAGTGTGTGGGGGTACATCACATACGGAGAGTGTACCACTTCAAGAGGAAAAAATTTCGCAGAATGATTTCACTTCTTCACTTTTTCTTTCTTCTACGGGGGAAAATAAATATATGGAGTAATGCACGCAAGTCCGTAATTGGAGAAATTTCCGCACTTTAGGGAAACCCCAAATTGCGGAATGGCCTTCCCGGGCAGGTGTTTTATTTTTTTCTGCCTTACACAAATGCGAGGAGCATTTAACGGGAGGGAAGAGAATTCCTTTATCCTTTTTAAGTGCAACAAAGGGGGAAGAAATATGCGCACATGTGGACACGCGCACGGGTATGATCAGGTGTAAATTCGGGTAAAACGAATGTACACATGTGCAATGGACCTGTCCGCTTCCCTTACACGGCAAAGGGAGAGACGGAGAGAGAAATATCTTGGGGGGATCTGGCAGGGACATACAAGCGATCTTTTTTGTTTTTTCCCGCATGCCAAATTAGCAAGCTAGCAATTGTACGCGGTGAAGGCGACAAGGTGGGAGAAACAAAAAAAAAAAAAAAAAAAAGTTTCACACAAAAGTCGGCATTTGCTTCAACCCATTTGGTATGCATAATTAACACGAGAGTTTCGCGCGAATGTTTTTTTTTTTCTTTTTTTTTTCACTGGTAAGGGGAAAATAACTTGGCAAATGTTTGCTTCACGTTTAAAAATGTAAAAAATAGGCAGAAAAGAAAAGTGAGCGACATTCAGAAGAGAGTGAACAGGTTAAAAGCGGCCGTATTTACATAGCATACGCATGGATACGCAGCAGTATATGCATATACTCAATGCGCGTCGGTAAATCAGCGCGCAGATGGGAACGACCACATTCACGCCGCATACGCAGTGGATTACTTCTTAGGCCATTTTACCTACTCATTGCATAGGCAGTACAATCACATCCTTAACACTTCACTACATACAATACATACTTCATCACATGCGAGCGCTTTGTAACGATAAAAAGTGAGAGGCGAACTACGTTGGCGAATGAGTGGCGAACGAAGAAGCAGGGGACGCAAGCTGCTGGATGTGGACTTCTAACTTCACCTTTGACATGGTTAGCATATAAACCTTTGGAATTGTGCATTTCAAAATTTTGCCTATTTTTTTTGCCTATTTTTTTGCCTTTTCTTTTGTGCCTATTTTTTTGCCTTTTCTTTTGTGCCTATTTTTTTGCCTTTTCTTTTGTGCCTATTTTTTTGCCTTTTCTTTTGTGCCTATTTTTTTGCCTACATCTTTGCCTATTTTTTTGCCTACTTCTTTGCCTATTTTTTTGCCTATTTTTTTGCCTTTCGAGTTTCACTGAATATTTTCCCCGATCAGCATAGCATGGAAATAGCAAAAAAACAAAATTTTGCTTCTGTAATTTGACAAGATAAAGTTTTTGTTTCTTTTTCTCTTTTTCTTTCTCTTTTTTTATTTTTTTTGTTTTTTTCGTTTTATGTACATGTACAAGTGTATGCATATAGCATATACATATAGATTTTTACATTTTTTTTAAGTGACAATAATACATGTTGTCAGGATAAGGATAAGGAGAAAAAAAAAAAATCAAGATAACAGACCAAAAGAGGAATATAACCTTGTTGATGAGAATAATTAAAAATGTTCATCATAAATTGGTTAGTCAGGGAGAGGACGAAAAAGCATATGAGGAGGGGGTGCAAAACATGTTCCCCCGCTTGTTCGTTCGATTGAACGTTTGCGCGTTCGGCAGCATGACCACTTGTCACTTCTTCTCATCCGTCCTGTCTCATACCTTGTCGCGTCTCCCGTTTGGATCCCCCCCCTCCCCCCTTTAGGTTTAGGGACATCTTGGCACATTTGGGCCTATCACAGAAGAGCGCAAGGATATTATTTTTAGGTACGACCGCTAAACGCGTGAGGGGGTCTGCGCATACACACACATGGCCACACACATATGTACACGTGTGCATGCTTAACGCAAAGCCGAACGGGGCGCTGTGGCAGGCCTCCCCAGAACGGGGAAGTGCTCATCGTTGCGTAGACTGAGTAGCTAAAATGAATGCTAAATGATCAGTAATGTGGGAGAGGAGAGGTTAAAGGGGGGCCAGAGTTTCTCCACGTCGTGTTTCTCGTGGGTTGAGTGGAGCCTCTCCGTAAGTTCACCGCTGATCGGTCACCTCTGCACGCGCATTTCTTAACCGCCCCCCCCGCAGGCCTCGACAACGCCGGGAAGACAACTCTCCTGCACATGCTAAAGGACGACCGGGTGGCCCAGCACGTACCGACGCTGCACCCCCATTCAGAAGAACTCGTTGTGGGAAAAATAAGATTCAAAACATTTGACCTTGGAGGCCATGAAACGGCCAGGAGAATCTGGAGGGACTATTTCGCAGCCGTGGACGCTGTTGTATTTATGATCGATACAACGGATAGGTCTAGATTTAATGAAGCAAGAGAGGAGTTAAAGCACCTCCTCGAGACGGAAGAATTAAGTAACGTCCCCTTTGTTGTCCTAGGAAATAAAATCGACAAGCCTGATGCAGCTAGCGAAGATGAATTAAGACAGCATTTAAATTTATTCACCAACCTGACTGTGCACAACATGAAGGGAAATTCAGGGGTGAGGCCAGTTGAGCTTTTCATGTGTAGCGTCATAAGAAGGATGGGTTATGCAGCGGCCTTCAAGTGGATATCGCAGTTTCTGACGTGATGCGTTTGGCGGTGAGCATGGCAATGGAGGCACCACGGAGGAGGCGACCAGAATGATAGGCATCGCCACGTTTGACAGCACCACGAATCAGCCAAGGATCAAGCGCGAATCGCCTCAACCGCCACAGATGTTCCAAACCGCCGCATTTTCGTCCCCCCTTGTTTAAAAGTGTGTATATCTGTATCTACTTACGCATGAGCATTCGTTCACCCATGCACGTGCGGCCATATGTCCCCTCATGCGATTTGCGCAACCATTTTATAGCCACTTTGTTACATATCTAAACGCGTTCGTATATGCACAGACGAATGCATATACTGCTCATATGTTTATGTGTACATAAACAAAAGGTTTAAAGCACATTA